CATAGCGACCCGTCCAAGCATCCACCCACACCAAGTGTCGGGGATATCACAAATTTCCTACTGTGCCATGACATCATTTCACCATTGAGCAAATATATTTAAACAAATTATACTCTATTAATAATTTATTGTTATCTAAAAGAGTGATGTTAACATCAACAATGCAACTAATTAAAAATTCACCAAAAATTAAAAGTTTTAAATTCAAAAATTAATGTTTGTGATTAAGTTATTTTTTTTATAATAAAATAACGAAATATTTAATGTGTCATATTACTATAATATAACAAAATATATATATGCAACAAAATTTGTATAAAAATAGAAATTTGTGTTTATTTATAAATCGTTACAATTTTATTACAAATAAGAATTAAATAATAAATTATTTTAGAAAGTGATATGTCTTACTCAAATTACATATTGTGGGCTGGCAGTAAACTCACGAGATTACATATTATGGACATATATATTATATTAACTTTAATTGATTCTAAATAATATATTTACAAAAATATAAAATAATGTTATGTTAAATTATTTTTGGCCCAACCCAAAATGATTAACTTAGTCACTAACATTTTATGAACTTAAATAACAACAATAATAAAAATAAATAGCAAATAAAAGCAAAACATAATAATTACCTTGTGTTTGTTGATTCTGAGGATACTTCGGGCATTATTCAGTAGTGATTGTGTACTTTGTTGTGGCCTTGGTCTCCGAATAAGAACTCCACTTGGTCGATGATTTTGTTGTGGCCTTGGTTCTTGAATTATGAGTTCCTCTGGTTGAGGATTTTGTTGTGGCCTTGGTCGTTGAATTAGTACTCCCCTAGCTTGTGGATTTTGTGGTGCCCTTGGAATCCGGTTGACAACACCCACTAGTTGAGGACTTTGTGTTGATGCTCCTATTTGTGTGTTTAGAGATCTGAGCGGTTGAGTGATAGGTATATGTGCTTCAGGTTGTAGGTTCTGGAGAGTCACTTGTTCGGAATTTCTTAACGCCCCAGATCTTGATGGAAAGGATCGTCGGGAACGCTTAGATTGGTGTAAGTTTGGAGCTTCGAGTGCAAGTACAATTTTTGAACGATCACCAGGCAAAAGATTGTTAGTTCTATGAAGTTTTTGGTTTACCATATTGATTTTCAAATTTTGAAATAAAAAAAACTGTTGGAATTTTTGTGTATGAAATAAAGTAAAACAAGACAATTGATGGATATATGAGTACGAAGATGAACACAAAAGATTATGAGTGTATAATTGAGTGTATGAAATATAAAGGAGAAAATCAGATTGATAAACTGGGAGAATGAAAGAAAAATAGACTGTGAAAAGAATGGATCTGAAAGTATGAAAGCAAAATAAAAATAATTGGCAAGTATATAAATATATATGAAAGATTAAAGGTAATAAGTTTGTAAATTGGTAATTCTATTAATATTATATAAATATTTCAAAAACTAATTTAAAAGTGAAAGAAATACAATGTACTGGATTAGAATTATCTACAACTTAAAGGAAATATAATTACCACAATACTCAGAATAATAAATATAAAAATATAAAAATATAAATATAAATATAATTATGAAAATACCTAAGTTTGGAAGCAATTATGACATGGATATGCAAAATTAATAGAATTTTATATTATATTCAAAATAACACATCAAATAATTATTTCAATTAAAAATTTTACTATTTAAAATCAAAATTCAAAATAAAAATCTTACATATATCAAACAATTATTTCAATTAAAAATTTTACTATTTAAAATCAAAATTTAAAATAAAAATCTTACACATAAACATAGTTATTAGGTGAACTTACTTTCTAAAACATAAAATTGATTATCACATAACTCTCATAAATTTAAACACGTGATAATAAAATCGAACCTATTCACATGAGCTTACTATATAAAAATAAAATTCAATGTACTATTTAAAAATTAGATTGGACACATTCACATAAATTTACTGTATAAAAATGATAGTAAATATATTTATATGAATAGTAGTATAATAATAAATTGAAAAAACATATTATTGACATGAGTTTACTATATAAAAATAGAATTTAACTTACTATTTAAAAATTAGATTGTAACATTCATATAAATTTACTGTATAAAAATGATGTTAAATACATTTATATGAATAATTGTATAATAATAAATTGTAAGAACATAAATGAACATATTATGGAAAATTAATATTGTGCCCGTTAAGTGAGTATAGTAACAAAATTGGAAGATAAATCAACTTACTATGCAAAATTCATATTGTATCTAAAGTAAGTATAATCATAAAATTGGAGAAACATATATCAAATTAAATTTATGGTACCATCTATATATATTTTTTTTTTTAAAGAAAAGACAGAACAATTTTTTTTTATCATAAATTTATTGTAAAAACCAATTATAAAGTTTAGTCATTCATATATCTACAATGTACAACCTAATAAATATAATTATCCATAGTACCGGCTATTGTGCTCACCTAAATATATTTAATACTCATAAAATAAGATGAAAGTTTTTGTTGTTAACTTTTAAAATTATTTTAATTATTTTTTCATATTTTAAAGTTTTAATTGTATTGGATAGGAATCAATATGTTAGGAATCAATATGTTTCTCCATATATATATATATATACTTTTAAATTTTAGATAATATATATTTTGATGACGTGGAAAATCATAATCGTTAGTCTTTGAATGCGTTATAAGTAATTTTTAACCGAATTTAATAACCTGTAATTTTATATTTTGAATATTTCGATAGGTGGATTAAATATATAATTATTTCCGAACCTAATAGTCCGCAACAGAGAAAATATTTTTAGTTTTTAGTAGGTGATTAAATATATAGTTATAAATATATTATTATTTTGCTTTTAAGGATATGACAATCATTATTGCTTCCTTAAACCCATTTGTTAGTATTAGCATGCAATGTTATACTTATTTAACAATAAAAACCAAAATTAATAAAATAAATTTTTTGATTTCATATATAAGTGGTGGCTAATAGATTTTTTTTAATGTATTTCAGCATTTATTATTATTATTTTGCTTTGGATTATTTTTAAGGATTTTATAACTTTTACAAACAAAAATAAAAAATAAATTAAAATAAATTTAAGAATTATTATCAATATAGCATTATTTTATTCTATGCCCCTCCTCAAAGATTTCTCTTAAAAAATTATATATATAGATATTGTATTATTATCGAGTTCCTTTATAGATTATTGAGCACAATATACATGTAACGTTTTTTAAGGGAAAAAATTATTTTTAGTCAAATATAATCAAAAATTTATCAATTTTAGTTTCAATATAAAAATTTTATCAATTTTAGTCCCAATATAACCAAAATTCTATCATTTTTTGTCCCAATATAACCAAAATTTATCATTTTTTGTTTCAATATAAATTTTTTTATCAATTTTAGTTCAAATATAACCAAAACTCATTATTTTTATTCCAATATAATCAAACCTTATCTTTTTTGGTTCCACCGTCAACAAACCAATGAAAAATATTGAAGAAATTTATAAAAGATGAGTTTTGATCGTATTGAGACTAAAATTAATAAAAAAATTTATATTGAGACAAAAAATGATAAATTTTTGTTATATTGGGACAAAAAATTGATAAGAAATTTATATTTGGATCAAAATTAATGAATTTTAGGACCAAAATTGTTTTTTTTCCCTTTTTTTATATTAATATTTCTTTTAATATAAATATATATGTGTAATATTTATTGTTGAATTCATATTTTGTACTCTTTATTTCTTTCAATCAAATTTATATTGACTGCGTATTAGATTCTGTTAGAGGCTTACTTAGTGCGTACTTTTGAATAGCAGTTGGAGATTCCTAAGTTACTTTAAAGAAAAAAAAAGTATGTTTGTTTATTTTTTTTGTTTATCCATAAAAATATATTTTCTATTTATAAAAAATAATTTTTACATATTTGTTAATTCATATATTCTAACATTATATTTGTTTATAAATATGTGCCCATTGATTATACACTCAATATATATATAAAATTTTTTTTCACTATTAATTCATTCATTTATTTTTCAAAATATATTTATTTTATATTACAATCAATTAATACAGTATAATACTATATTTATTGAAATTCCAATCGAACTCAAAACATTTTGTGAAAGAAGGAGAATGTATATATTATATGTTGACGTGTTGGACTGATACTGTAATACTGTCATTATTTATTATTATGTCAGATGTGTTGACCTCATTATTATCGTATTAGGTTTGCGTTGATTTGTATACATAATTAAATTGAAATTATTAATTCAAATTCAATTATAGTTTATTGTATTATAGTTTGTTATATAATAATATTAGTTTTTTTGCAATGTATACAATGAATTACTTTGAATTAATTAAAATTAAATTAAATTTAAATTAATATGTGCTTAATTATTAAATTAGAATTATTTTATATATATTAAATAATATTAATATATTATAATCAAATTGTAGTGTATGGTTGTCAGTCTATTCTAACTCGATCTGTTTATTACAGTGTCGAATTCGAGTTCGTATCAATTCTTATATATAATCACTTTGAAATTCTTAACTCAAACTCAATTATTTTGTGATCGGATTCGTATCGAATTATCTCATCGTCATCGTGTAAGTTATTTCATGTTGAATTCGTGCAGTCTCAATTTTTTACTGCTCTAAGAAAGTCACACCATTTAGGGTGTGTTTGTTTGAGGGATTTGTTTGGATTTTCACTGTTCATCCTATTTTTTCTCCCAAAAATATTAAATCAAACACCTATTTTTTATTTTTTATATTATAATAAAAATCATTTTTACATTCAAAACATCACGTCAATACCTATTTATATCACATCATACAACTATTCAAATTCAAAATTTTTATTATTCAAATCTCAATTCAAAATACAAAGCCTCAAACAAACACACCCTAAAAACTTGTCAAATGTGAATCACCAGTCCTATTTCCGACCCTGCGATGTGCAAATCGGGAACGAGACGATGATGATGATAAGGTTAATTAATGTTTAGGTAAGGAAGGAAGGGAGGACAAGAGACAAGAGAGATGCCGCTGCACGCATTAGTGGTTCGGTTTGGTTACCATCATCAACTAGAACGCAAAACGATACATCATTCCATTACTGAGCTGCGCCGGCCAACGGCGGCGGCCGTCTGCCGCTGCTGCAGTCAGAGTCGGAGTTCGAGTTCGAAAAAAGCATGGGCGGCGGTGTCACTTGGGCTTTTCAGCTCCGGCGTGGTTCTGGGCCCACTCATAGATGGATTGCACTCAAGAGTCGGCCTTGTGGTTTACGAAATTGGGGCAATTGATTTTGGTCCTCTTCACACCAATATTTGGGTAATCATCATATATATATATAGATATGGATAGGTCACTTTGCTTGGGTAAATTAGAATTTGATTGTATTTGCTGCACTGCAGGTACCGCCATTGCTAGGGTTGTTTTACTGCAGCGTGGGGTTGTTGCAATTCGCTCTCGATGAAGCTGCCTCCGCCTCGTCACCTCCACCTCCTCCAGATCTCGCTGCACAAAAGGCAGCCGCTTCTTTAATGTAAGAATCAATTCATTCATTTCTGCAATTGAATGTTCATGAGTGCGGTGTTTCAAATTCATAGAGATATTCGACATATTGTTTCGATTAGGTTATTTTGAGAAGCGATTTGATTTGAGGTGATTGTCAACAAAATATGGCTCTAAATGTGGTCAGAAATGGAAGCATTTTCTAGAAACATATTTGTTTGGGATGTATAAGAAAAAATGCGAGGTTGTTGGTATCTACTACTTATTTCGCCATAGTTTGTCACCAGATTTGCATTTTTGGGATGAAATAACAATGGCAATATTATTTTGGATGGTGCAGAGCTTTGGTATTGTTCATAGAATTGAGCGGCGAATTGTACAGAGGTGGAGTGGCGTCGAGCGTGGAAGCTTACATACTGTTTGCAATGGCAGAAGCAGTGTGGTTTCTGCTTGACAGGACCTGGCTTGGTTTTGCACTTGCCTCTCTTATTGGAATTGCTTGCCCACTTGCAGAAATTCCCTTCATCAAGTAATTTATTAATTATTCATCACCATTTTTACTCCATCTTCGTCTTCATCTTCATCTTCATTTTCAGTTTTGATGTTTTACACTGTAGATTGGGATTGTGGCACTACCCTGGATCAAATATTGAGATATTCGGAGAGGTATGTACAGTTATATGGTTGTGTTCGTCTGGGCTTTGGATTTTGAGAATAGTAAAAAAAATTTAATTAAAATAGTTATATAACGTTACAGTAAAATTAATTTTTAATATAATATAAAAAATAAAAAATAAATTTCTGATTGATATTTTTGAAACGGAAAAAATAAAATCTTTTTACAAATTCTCCAAACAATAATACGTATGTCTGTACTTAAGATTTTGATCAGCTTGTAGGTGGTGCTTTAATGCTTGTGCAGGGATTGGTGACGTGGACGATGACGTGCTATTTTGTGTATACACCATTCTTGTTAAACTTCTCCCGATGGCTCAGATCAATATGCATAAAGAGGGTTTAATGTAAAATATATTTAGATTTATATTTGTCGAAAAAAATATATATTTTTTTTATAAAATATATCATTAAATATTATTTTTATATCAAATTCAAATTAAGTTTTTTTTCAATCTCATCTCTAAGGAACGCACCCTAATCATAAGATCGGATTCAATAAGTCATGACCCATTAGTTAAAAGAAATAGAATAAGTACATTTGCACTTTATTTTTTTTTCTTTTATTTAGATGTATAATAACTTACATATACAAATAAAAACATGTTTATTATAAGCAAAGTTACATATAAAATACTCCTATATTAAAAACAAATCCTAAATTGAACATCTTTATTAGTTCCTCCAAATCAATTGTGCAACAAATCGTCGTCTTCGTGTCCCAACCCAACAGCCAACAGCAAATTCAATTAAGGAACGGTGAGCAGCACGTGCACAATATACGCAACCACCGGTTTGGTACCTGCCAACCCCATCATCCCTTCTCTCTGTACGGACGCATAGACATATTTACACACACATATATATATATATATATATAGTTCCGACCACATTTGGATAATTATATGTTCTGTTATCAAGAAAAGATCTTTGGGGAAAGAATTAGAAATCGGAAACAACAGGAAAAAAAACAAGAACAGGCATATATATATATATATATAATAAGCATGTCGGCAGACAGGACGGTATGCGTTACCGGAGCAGCCGGCTTCATCGGCTCCTGGATTGTCATGAACCTCCTCCGACGAGGATATACCGTTCGCGCCACCGTCCGCGACCCTGGTACGTAATTACTTAGGGTGTGGTTGTTTGCAGGTTTGAATTTATAAATAATAAAAATTTGAATTTGAATAGTTATTTGAGGTGATATAAACAAATACGGTAAATAAATTTATAGTGTCATATATATAAAAAAATTATTTGATTTTTTTTTAAAAAAAAAGAATTTAAATAATAAAAACATACGATAAAACTCACAAAAGAACACAACATCAGTTTCACTAATTAATTCACTCTCTTAGTTCTACTATACATCTGCTTTCTTCCTCGTTAGCTTAGATATAGAGTTTTAGGTATTGTGTAAAGTAATTAATAAGTATATTTAAGTAAAAATAATTATAGATTAACATTAAAATAAATAAATAATTTTTAAAATATAATTAAAATGTATAATTATATTTTCGAAATAAGAAACGACTCCAGACGAAAAAAAATAGAAAGAGCGGACAGAATAATTATTAATGAATGAGCGCAGAAAACTTGAAGAAGGTTGGGCACCTATTAAACTTGCCAATGGCCAAGACAAACCTAACACTGTGGAAGGCCGACATGGCCGTCCCAGGCAGCTTCGACGAACCCATCCAGGGCTGTGGAGGAGTCTTCCACATGGCCACTCCCATGGATTTTCAATCTCAGGACCCTGAGGTACCCTACCTGCCTACCCACCCATACAATTCTTCAATTAATTAATTTTGGATCGACAAATATTAATTAAATAAATCACTAGAACGAAGTGATCAAGCCAACTGTGGAGGGTATGCTGAGCATCATAAGGTCATGCGCCAAAGCCACCACTGTCAAGAAGCTCATATTCACAAACTCTGCCGGGACTCTAAACGTCGAGGAGCACCAAAAACCTCTTTACGACGAAACCAGCTGGAGCGACCTTGATTTCATCTACTCCAAAAAAATGACTGGATGGGTAATATATCACTACAAAAAAAAAAAATAATAGATTTGTAACGGAATTTCGTCCCTAAAGTTCACGCGGCTAAGCTAAGCTGACGTAATTTCGTATATTTCTAATGTCATTAGTAACAGAAAAAGTGAATTAATTCAATATATATATATATTGCAGATGTATTTTGTGTCCAAAATATTGGCTGAGAAAGCAGCAATGAAAGCTGCAGAAGAGAGCAACATAAAGTTCATAAGCATCATACCTCCAGTGGTCGTCGGCCCCTTCATCATGCCAACGCTCCCGCCTAGCCTCATCACCGCGCTTTCTCCCATTACCGGTAAACTAATTAATTAATTTTTTGAAAAGAAATATTATTGTCACGTGATTTGATATGACACGATCATCGATCAGGGAATGAAGCTCACTACTCTATAATAAAGCAAGGGCAATTCGTTCACGTGGATGATCTGTGCGAGGCTCATATATTCTTGTTAGAACATCCCACAGCAGAAGGCAGATTCATTTGCTCCTCCCACGATGCTACCATTTACGACATAGCCAATTTGATCAAACAGAAATGGCCTGAATACCAAATTCCAAATGAGTAATTCAGACACACATTTTAATCCCTTAATTAGCTTTTTTTGGTTGGATATGATTTAATTAATTTGATCGATCATATACAGATTTAATGGAATCGAAAAGGGCATACCTTTGGTGCGTTTTTCATCGAAGAAGCTGGTGGACATGGGGTTCAAGTTCAAGTACAGTTTGGAAGACATGTACAGACAAGCCATTGAAAGTTGCAGGGAGAAGGGACTGCTCCTGCATTCCACCATTACTGCTCAAACTCTCAACGCAAACAGCCACCGTTGCATTGAAAATAACAATTTTCTTTGATCGTGTACTTTCACTCGCCAATTAATAAATTTGATTTAATTTTGTAGAAATAGTTTAAATATTCGGTTTTAAATTTAGTAAATTTATAATATCCTCGTCACCTCATATAGAATATAGACACAAAAAAAGTTGAATATAGAAATTAACTTGAATTTGATAAGAAAATTGAATATAAACGAAAAAAAAATAAAATTAAAATAACATTTGACTCTCCACCGGAGTAAAAAATGACATGACTTTCTACCGGAGTAAAAAACGACATGACTCTAGTGGAGAGTCGTCTTCAGCCCAAATATCTAAAATATTTCAACAAATTTAACTTACACAGATTGCATCAATCGAAATCTAGAGCAGCCTAACATCGAAGTAGTCGAACACACGGCTTATTACAACAATCCCAACAAACAAAATTCGATTCTAAAGTTTGTGCAAAACTAAGTGAGCCCCGTGCTGAGGTTGAAGTGCAACGACTGTCTCGGGAGCATGAACGTAGTACGACGAAAGATCAAATGAAAAACGACGTAGCATCATTGCCAACACCACTTTCACCTCCACCATTGCGAACATTTGGCCAATGCAAATTCTAGGCCCCCATCCAAACGGGAAGAATATACCGGGCATCTTTTGCGCCTGCAAAACCCCTTCGCTAAATCGCTCCGGCTTGAATTCCATCGCATCTTCCCCCCAAATTTCGCGGCTGTGATGCAAGAGGAGTATCGGCAATATGAGTTCAACTGACGCCGGTAATGTCAATTTCCCCAAGATGGTTTCTTCGCTGATCCTTCGCCGAAGAAACACTATTGGAGGATATAGCCTCATCACCTCGTGCAGAATCATGTTAACCTACAACACATTGAAGCCTCGAGATGGATTAATTATGTCGAAAAGTGATTGAATCAGTTGGCGTCGATCTAATTAGTCTCTGCCATTTCTACTTACAGTTTTCAGCTGATTCAAACCTTCGCCGTCGGGCTTTTGGTCCCCAAAGACTTGGAAAATCTCGTCGCGGGCTTGTTTTTGCCACTCTGGATATCTGCACAACAGAATCATCGTCCACACGAGCAATGACGAAGTAGTCTCCTGCCCGACAAAGTAAAATAGCTTGCATTCTTCCACGACTTCATCCGAACTCATTCCAAAACTCTTGTTCCCATGTTGTTCGATTTCTTGGAAATTAGATTCCAACAATATGTTTAATAAGTCTGCTTTACTTGCCTCCCCGCCTTTCATCGCCTCGATCCTTTTATCCACTATGCCTCGTACTAACGAATTAACTTCTTTCGAGATTTCCATCATTCCACTGATTCTTTTGTCAACAAACCTACAGATTGTAGGATCAGTACATTTATCAAAAACCCGAAAAGAGTATTTTCCATATTATGTTGCAATGTGTATTTCATTTCAGGGTACCTCCGTCCCGGATAATCTATTGATCGTGTAGCCAGTGCCAAATTCTTCGCCTGCTCTCTCAGCAGCTCGAATATTCTTCTCCCTTCTTGATAGCTGCTGCCAAATGCAGTCCTCGATATAGCATCGCTGGTGATGTTTTGGATATGAGGCCAAACATCTATTTCACACGATCCCTCGGGCGACAGACCCTTCTCCCATTCGTCCAACACATCTTGGCAACTCAAAGTAAACGCCGGTATCATCAGCTGTGCCAAGCAACAAAATTAGCATAATAAGGCTAAATTGCATAAAATGCACTTGTGGTTTCACAAAGTTGCGCGAATCCCCTTGTACTTTTAAAACTGCGTCAAACTCTCTTCTAATTTTATAAACTTTGCGTCTAAGCCTGACCGTCCTTATTTAATGGTATTTGAAATACACGACGCTCAAACTGGAAATTAATTTCAGAATACTAATTTATAACTCCTAAAATTATAAATATATTTATTTCTCTTATATTTAGTCGAAAAAAAATTAAAAAAAACTTTTAAAGCTAGAGAAAAACAACTCTTTCTCGACTATATTTATTGTTTCTTAAGTTAACAATAAGAATAATGAGTATTTTTTGTAATTTCAAAAGTTTGGAAATGAGATTTTGAAATTCTTTTACTTTAAATAAGGACAGCCGAAGGCTTAGATCGAGGGAATTTGACGAGTCTTGAAAGTATGAAAGTTTGGCAATTTTGTGAAACTACAAGAAGATTTTGGACAATTTAGCCTAATGTAAAGTCAGTAATGTGGAAATCTAAGCAACAGTTTCGTGCGAAAACCTTCAACTTCTCGAGATGGAATGCCGGATTCAAGAGCTTCCTGTGCTTGGCCCATTTTTCTCCCTCATAGCTCACAAGTCCCTGCCCTAGAAGCCTACTCAATGGAGACCTCCTCCCCCTCTGGAACACGTTGTTCTTAGCCAACACCTCCTTAATATATTCAGGATCAGTTATGAAAACAGAGGGCCTCAACCCCAGCCATATAAAAGATTGTTTTCCTGCATTTATTGTTACCACACCACACCATGTTTACTTTCCTAGTGCAAATTACCTTCATATATAATAACAGGTCAATTACAGTTTCGATTCAAAAAAATTAATTGGACTCAGAATCAGATATCACATTATTCCCCTTTTTAGAACAAACGAAACTGCCCTAGGTTTGAGATTTTTAATCAATCCCATATATATGAACACTATTGAGATATTAGTTCAATCCTTTCTACTCAAGCTCAGCTCAGCTCAGCTCAGCTCAGCTCAGGCAAGATTTAATTGAGAAAGTGATAGATCAACGAGGAGAAATTAAAAGAGGTAGCAGGCAGTACCGACCATATTTCTCAACGGTTTTGAGGAACAAGCCGAGGACTCTGGGCTTGATATCATCGTCGATGTTGATTGGCTTTGATTTGGCTTCCTTGAAGGTGCTCGACATCTCCTTCAAGTCCCCGTACACCAAACGATAGGCGTTGCCACGGAAGCCTTGTCTTCTTAGAAAAATCTCCAGCTTCTTTGGCGTGATGTAAGCCCACTGCAGAATCCTCCATGTCAATAACAGCAACAGAGACGCGAGAGAAGCTATGAGAACTTGGGAGTGCAAATCCATTTCTTTAGCCCGTAAATTCTGAAGATCGTCTGTTAGACGATGTGAACGATTAAAATTTAAGCTTGAAAACTTGCACGTGACGGCAACCAACAGATCCAAGTGGCACGTGTTTTGGCGGATGGATTCACCTGGTTCTGATTATGATTATTATTATTATTATTATTATTATTATTATTATTATTATTATTATTTAGTTTTTTTAAAATATAATTTTATATTTTTTAATTATATTTTAAATTTTATAATTTATATTTTTATAAAATTTAATTAAATTATTTATTTATTTTAATTTTATTATATAATAATTTTTTATTAGTATATTTTTTAATTATAGAATAATATTAACATTTTAACATGAAGAAAATATTACTTTAATTTTCATATATATATATATAGAGTAATATTTTTGAATTATTCGGCCTATTATTTCTTCAACAAATTATGTAACTATATATATATATATATATTTTCTCTAAATTTAAGCACAATTTAATTATATAATTTTATACATTCATAATTAAATTGTTTTCATTTTTTTTTTTATTGGCTAAGCAAGCTAATAGCTCGAAGGAATTTTCTTATGTTTATTTTGATATACAGTACTCTATCAGTCCACGTAATTTGTTTTTATTTTTAATGTTAAGTAAATAGTATAATTACTAGAAAAAAATGAATACTTTGTTATCAGACAGACCAAAATGAAAAAATTGATAGATTGTTAAGGGACGAAGGGGTACTACATTCGTCCGGCTCTAAGAGTCTCATTTACTTTTTGTGTATTGATATTTGAATATTAATTATTATATCAAAATATAGTACAAATTAAGAATACTTTTAATGTTAAATATAATAACGTAAAAGATAAATGTGACATTTAGGACGGACGGACGGACGGAGAGAGTAAAATATTATTTTTTGTCAACTCAAAAAATATACATATTTTTATTTTGAATTATCTAATTACAAATTAATTATTATTATTATTATTTTTTTTTAGTAATATGAACTTTATCCCATATTAATCAAACTTTTATACTTATTATATTTACAAGAATACCATTACACTCACAGTTTTAATCATAAGGATATATTTATTTTTTATACTAAAATTATCACTTACTATGATGTGCCCAAATTAAATATTTTCTTTCAAATCAAGAGATAAAATATTATTTTTTCAATCTAGTATTAAAAGAAAATCTAAAATAATACTCTGGTATCCCTTCCTACTACGGTGTCATTTTAACCGTATATACGAAAATTTAGAAATGGTATAATTAGTAAATAATTCAAAATTATATTAATAAAAATAATTATCGTATAATAAAAATAATTTTAAATTAAAATAAGATAATTATTTATTCTAATTAAAATAAAAAATATATAAATTAATTTTTTTTTATAAGATCAAAATGTGTAATTTCTTTCTAAAATAAAATGACAAAATAAGTAGGACAGATAAAAATAAAAAAAATAAACACAATAAATGGGACAGAGAAAGTATATAATATTACAGGCATAATTAGATAAAAAGATCATTATAGTTGCTCTAAGCTCAACCATTGCCGATAAATAGAGTGTAGGATCTAATTATGTAAGACAATCAAATTTAAATGGAAAATTAGTATTTTGATACTTTGAATTGAAAATTAATATTTTGATGATATATTAAATAAAAAATAATATTTAATTTGATAGTTTTTAATATATATATATATATATATTCTTTTAAATGAATAATGTAAGGCATTTTAATACTTCATGTAAATGTTTTGCAGAGGTTAGATATATAGCATGTTCAATACATATTCAAAGAGAAGTGGAGTGTAAAAACATATTGGGGAATCATAAGTTTGGCATGTTTGAATGAAGACAAAATGATCATTCATGTATTTGTTTAGATATTTGAATTTTGAGTTTTAATTTGAATAGTAAAATTTTGTTTAGTTACAAAAATTCTAGGAGGAAATAGGGGTGGGTTTGAAAAGAAGTCCAGTCCGATTCAAGGAATGAGTAAGCCCAAAATAGATAAATAAAGAATAATCAAGATGAGGGGAAGAGGAGGCCGAAAAATAAAACATAACTATAATCGATTAAAATAAGTACAGTACAAAATTTTGATTCGAGTATAGCATGAAACATAAGTAGTTGAACTTGAAAATAGGCTTGAAAACTTTTTGGACAGAGCCAGCCCAACACGGTTGAAAATCTAGATCGTGTTTGGCTCCGCATGCTTTATTGAATAAAATTTTAATGGATAAAATATTTTTTAGTCTCGTATCTTACCCTCGTTTTAATACTTTAAATGGACCTTATCTGAAAATAGTCTCGTAAGTAAAAATTTTTGCTAAAATGGTCATCCGGTGCCAGACTCGCCACGCCGGCCCTCCGTTGCTGACGTGGCTCTGACGCGACGGACATGTCATCGCCACGTAAATGTCACGTCGGAGGACCATTTTAAGGAAAAATATTAATTGCATGACTATTTTTAGACAAAGTCTATTTAAAGTCCTAAAAATGATAAATGAGGTTATATATGAGACTTAAAAAAATAGTTTACCAGAATATTTTGTAAAATAAAAAAAATAAAATTTCATGTGTCGTTGACGTGACATTTATACGGCGATGACATGTCAGCCGCGTCAGCGCCACATCAGCAACGGCGGGCCTGTGTGGCGAGTCCGGCACCGGAGAATTATTTTAGCAAAAAAAATTTACTTACGAGACTATTTTAAAAAATGATCCACTTAAATACTAAATGATCAATGGGGTCAGATACGAGACTTAAAAATAGTTTACCCAACTTTCATTTAAATGTCTTTTGGATAAACTATTTTTTTAGTTCCGTAACTAGTTTTTTTATTTCATTTTAGTCTAATAACTGAAACTTGTCTTGAAATAGTCTTGTAAATAAAAATTCACATATTTAGTCATCCAACGCCGAAGATGTGTTTTACCTGGCACCCGCATGGCACGTCGGATTACATGAGTCCGCCAGGTAAACGCCTGACGGAAACGTGGAAATTTTTTATCTTTTATTTTTTTAAAAAAAAAATACATCAATTTTTAAAATTAAAAATACATATTATTTTTTATATATATATAAAGATAACAATATATTTTTTACTTTTTAAAAATATATTAATTTATAAAAAACAAATAATTTTTTACGTGGTCATCAAGTGGCGCTTATCTGGCAGATGGACACATGTCAATTGGCATATCATCCGGACATATCCAGCACCGGAGGATCAAATATTTGAAAATTTTTAACTTACGAGATTATTTTAAAATAGCTCAAGTTACAGTATTAAAATGACAAAGATAGCCACTTAGGAGACTAAAAAAATAATTTATCCATATTTTTCTAATGTATAATAAAAGAAAAAATTAATTATATGGTTAATGTTAAAAATTTTAAGTATCAATTATTCGAAATGAAGTAATATTATTATTTTGAATTTTTGCTTAAATAATATTTTGATTGGTGTTTTATGAGAAAAAATATTGTATATTTTTATTAAAATTATACACAATAAATAATTTTAATTTTAATTTGCATTCACAAAAGAACGTCCCGATTATACACCTTTTTCGGCAAAATCAGCAATACAAACTACAAAGTTAATGATATGATGGAATAGGACCGCGATTAAGGTGTTGTTTGAGTCAAATCAATATACTAAAATGAAGTAAGTAGCATTTCATCACAAGACAGATAGCAATATGTATTAGGTGGATTATATATTATGCTAAAATCAACTTATATTGTACTATATAGAATTATATAATATGTTATATGTATATTATATTAATATTTTATATGAGAGTTATATATTGTATAGTATTGTATAATACGTTTATTCTTGTTGTGCTGTTGTGTTGAAATCAAAATATATTATACTATATGTAATTATATAATAGTATGTTATAAAAAGATGTACTCGATTATATATTATATTAATATATGTTATTTTTATAAATATATGACGATGGAATCAAATTAATACGTGCAATATATAATTATATAATGTACTGTATTATTAGTATATACATTATATATTTGAATATTAATACGTGTTACCTTCTTTGTAAATATATGTTGATTCGGTAATGTAATCAAAGCACATTTGAAAAGTAAAAAATTTGAATTGAAATAATTGTGTAATGTGATTTAAATTAATATTATGTTGGAGAAATATTCTGGATTTAATGAAAATAAAAATAAATCGAATTCCACAGGGTATACACGATTTGGATATACTTTGAGTCGCTTAAATTCGCTTTTCTTATACGATATTTCGATTCTATTAATGTCTCGAGTTACACGAAATTCGTACGAGGATAAATCAAGCAACACTCGAATTTTAAGCGAAAAATTAAACAAGTAAACATTGAGAGATTATTTGCGGACACGGATTAATTCTGCAGACAAGAATCTATATATATATATTTTTTTTATGTCAGAATTTGTGAAGATAAATTTTATACAATAAATTTTGAAGTGTCTATTCAAGAAGATATTGCACCTTTCGGATTTATATCCCAAAAGTTGTCAATTAAAAATTTGCAACTTTTAATTTCAAATCTAAGAGATTAAATCTATTCAATTCAAATATTTAGAGAGTTTTTATTAAGAATTAATTTAATTTAATTCCTACTTTTAAAGATAATAATTTTCAAAATATATCAAAATATTTAGAAAATACGTGATTTTTTGTACTATAGTATATAACCATCTTTTTTAGTGGCACGACTAAACCATCATTCCATATACAAATTCATGTAATAATTAAACACTTCGTTCAATATTGTATAGGCATTCTCGAGTGCACACCCACACAACTCTTCCTGAAAACAGAACATTCCTTATTTTTAAATAAATTCAATAACAACAAAATAATCAACATATTAGTGTAATATTTTGAATATAAAATTAATTTTAATATAAAATAAATAAAAAAAATATATATTAATTTGATACATTTATAAAAAATATTTTGTATACATAATGAAAATCCTTCAAAATCTTTGGAAAAAAGACACCATGAATGAATAGATAACTCAATCTCAATTAGCCGCCAACTTTGATCCTCAAGTCAATTCATTACCCATGCTCCCTTCTCGTCTCTTCCATTTCACCTACTCCATTGAGAACCTTCTACTCATTGCCCAAAATATCTTATCGTTAATCATTGCTTTGTTTATTTATTTATTTATTATTATTATTATTTTCCTCGTCGTCCAAAACTAAAGTAATTTTACTTTTTGGCATTAATTTTGAAATTTTTATTTTTATAATTTTGTTTTTCCTAAAAAATGTAGTAAAGACTATATTTTTTATTGATAGAAAAAATATTATAATTTATTATACTTACTCCGTTCTAAAACTATAGTTTGGATTGTGTTTGACACGAAATTTAAGGAATATTAATATTATATTGGCAGTGGATAAAAAGTACGGATAAAAGACTTTTTTGTCCTTTTGAGTGTATTAGTGTAAAAACTAATGACAATTGTGTAATAATAATGAAAAAGTAAAAGTAATTTTATAATGATACAATTATTTATAAAAATAAAACTATTATTTTGTGACGGATAGAAATGGTAACATGACTATTGTATTAGTTTTTTAAAAATTATGGAATTTACATATTCATCACTATGTCAAACCAGACAAAAAAGAGCAGTCTCCAGCTATATATATATATTGTCGTTCATTAAATTATCCAAGTTTAATTTCATTCTTTATTTTAAATAATAATATAAATTTTGATACTTTATAAAAAAAAAAACTATATACTTTAATTTATTTTATTTTTTGTAAAAGCCGTGATTACTGACTAATAAAAAAATTAAATTTTGAAAAGAAAATATGCAACATTTACTTATATAATATGTTAAAGTATAAATAATATTTAGTTAAATTTATTTTCACTTTTTTTTTTAGTTTATTAAATTTATCTCGCTAATAAATTTGACAAAATTAACAAATTTAATATTTAATTATTTTTTTCAATTCAACATTTATTTACGACAAATACAACTACTTTTATGCTTTATTACATTCTTTATATTCATTTATTTTAATTTTTAGTTAAATTTTTAAAAATACTCGTGATCATATTTTTATTTTATCATTGTTAAAATAATTTTTTTTTTTTTAATTTTCATTAAAATTGCTAGTACGCTAATTTTAGTGGCTGATGAAGTAACAAAATATAAGTGAATTGGGCAAAAGTATAAACTCCAATTGCAAGTCTGTTTGCTTTCCATTTCAACAGCGATTGACACTATTATCTTTTTTTTTTTTTATTTTCTTTTTAAATATTTCATCATATGAAATTTATTCAAAATATATTCAAAATTTTATATTTTTATCTATCAATGATAAATGAATATTTATATATATTCGAATTTCTATTTATTTAAAAAATTAATTTATATTAATTATAAATAAATTTTTATATATATTTTAATTTATTTAGATTACATAAAATTTATTATTACATTTTTTTTATTAACATATAGCTATTAAAATAATGAAACATATCTTATAAATTTTTAAATTTTATATACATTAAATTACAAATTAAATATTAATTAAATAAATTATTTTCAATATAACTTTCAATTCAAAAACTTAATCGGTAATCAAGCGCACATCGTTGTGTTATTTTCGCCAAAATGCACCTATATATATATATATATATATCGAATGTCAAGTTCTCGTCAGTCATAAATTACACATTGATAATAGTATAATTCAATAAAAATATATAAATATTTTCTTTAAAGATTTCAATGTGAAATATTTTTTTTATGAGCAAACATTTTATTTTTTTGTTTCATTTCGCATAACATTATTTTTTTTTAGAAAAAGTGAAAAAACAGTTTTAAAAAAAGTAATAATAAAATAAAAATGATATATTTTTTTCATTCGAGTCATATTTAATTATTTTATTATTTTCGTCTGTTCAATTCAAATGTATATATATTTTTTTTTGGTAATAATACTTTTTATTTTAATAAAAAATACTCATATATTTTACACAATATTACAAACAATGTCACTAAAATATAAATGAGTTTAAAAGCAAAACTATCTTTTTATTTTTCTATTATATTATTACTAATAAAATACTAATATACGACAATCCACTTGAAAAAAAACAAATGAATAATATGACTCAGACAAATGAAATATTGAAAAATTTATTTAAAATAATATTTCCTCCATCCACCACAGATGTATCCATTTGTTATTTGTACGTATATTTTAATATATTGATATTATATTGATATGTAAGTACAATTGACATGTATAAATACTATTATACCTTTAATATTAATGTTATTACTTGATAGCATTTGTGCAATATTATACGAGATGAGGGTATTTTTATATTTGAGTGAAAGTATATTTACTAAAAATGAAAATAGATACATTCGTTATGGATGAACTAAAATAACAAAATGTATAAATTGACGATGAACGGATGAAATAATAAATTTTTAGGACGAAAGTATAGACAAAATTTAGTAAGAAAATGAAATTTATATAATCTTATGTTGACAAAAAATAAAAAATAAAAAAATAAAAATTAGTGTATAAATCGTAATATTTTTATTTGAAAAAATAGTAATAATTTTTTAGGACAAAAGTATAGATAAAGTTTAGCAAGTAAGAAAATGATATTCATATAATATTATGATGACAGAAAAATTTTAGTATATATACTAGGTAATACTCCCTCCGTCCGATCACAGATAATCCCATTTTTTTTTACGCCCCTTGACAAGTTTATCAATTTTAAACATACTTGACAAATATAAATCAATTTAATTAAACTTCGGACATTTTATACATAGGATCCGCTCAAAACCCCTTTATTTCTATATCTCTCTTTAATTAATAAATATTTTTATCTACTTTAAAACTCCTCATTTTTTATAAAACTAATTTATAATAATGATAAATAAATAAATAAATAAATTTTTTTATTCATTTGTATTATATAAAATTTTATTGTCTACAAAATGATATCGATATTGCATATATTTTATTGAGATATAATTGTAAAAATATTTAAAATACCAACAACACTACACATATAAAAGTAATAAAATATTATCTTAACTTATTATTAATAACTTAATAACTTATGCTACTTAAATTACGGTGTCTCTAAAAAAAAAAAACTTCATCTTCAAGGGAAAATTAAATTTAATTAAAAAGATTAAATTTAAGATTAGCAATGATGATTAAATTTTTTAAAATATGCTGATTTCATTTGCAACTGATCTCATCCCAAAATGATAAAGAGGATTTTTAGGGCAAAGGGATTAATTAAAAAGGTATTTACATAATTTTAAGTAGGCAAAAAAATTAATGTATATATAGTATTTCTTTTTTGTTAGTCAAAATTATGTCTTTTTTCAACAATGTGGTTAATCTTATCCATAATCACTTATATAGTAAACATTTTCTGTCTACTTATAATTTTATTATTATTATTTTAATAAATAATAATTAATTTGTAATATTATTTTTCTCTATTTAACACACTATTTTTTTTTTAAAAAAATTCATTTTTCTAAATAAATTTTTATATAATATTTTATTTTATTTTTTATCAACTTTATTTTAATATTACAAATAATTCTCTAACTGATTCTTATCCATCTATTCAATTTTTTTTTTTAATTTTAAATTCATTCGTAACAAAATATTTATTTTATTTTTTTTTATTAATTATACTGTCTAATTTACATTATATATATTTTTTTCAATTTATAATATATTATACAAATATCGTTATTTTTATATTATATGGTACTAAAATTTAATTAAAAAAAATAATAATAAAAAATGATAGGATAGATAGAGGAGAAAAGCTACTTTTAATTTTTTAGTATATAAGATATAGGTGTTGCCGTCATAGTGAGTGTGTGCGCCTCTGTCTGTATCTCTTATTAATTCGCACTTTCTTCTTCATTTCTTCCATTCATCAAAATCTACGAAATATGGATGAGTACCGATACCAGATTGGTTTTGCTGGTGCGTTCTGTGTGTCTCTGGCCCTAATAATAATACTGCCATGGAAGCTTCTGGAATGGGCTTACTTCACTCCCAAGAGGCTGGAAAGTTTACTCAGGCGACAGGGCCTCAGGGGGAAATCCTACCGATTCATCCATGGCGACATGAAAGAGGTCTTGAAAACCAGTGATGAAGCCAAGGCAAAACCCATCAATATTGGCGATGATATCAGGCCACGACTCTTGGGGTTTCACCTCAAATCCCTTCAAAACTATGGTATACATACACACACACATATATATATATATATGCTTTTATATTAGATCTGATCTGTACTGTACATGCCCTCTATGTATAGTTTATCGACTTTTCTGATAGGAACTAACTAAATTGACATGCAGGAGGTGAGTGTATTTTCTGGTCTGGAACCAGGCCTACAGTAATTGTGAAGGAGCCTGGACTGGTGAAGGAGATCATGGCTAAGAACTATCTCTTCCTCAAGGCAAGGGTGTCGCCGCTGACAGGGCTGCTCGCGCGTGGACTCGTCAGCTACGACAGACATAAATGGGCCAAGCACAGAAAACTCATCAATCCCGCTTTCCATCTCGACAAATTGAGGGTCAATTCTCTTTATCTTAATTTCAATAGCCATTGATATATAATGTAATAAGAAATCGACTTCATTTCATTTCATTGGCACATACAGCTAATGATCCCTGCATTTCAATTGAGTTGCGACGAAGTTCTAACCAAATGGGAAGAGCATCTCTCGCCGGAGGGGTACTGCGAGATAGACGTCTGGCCTTACCTACAAAGCATAACTAGCGACGCCATATCAAGAACAGCATTCGGTAGCAATTATCAAGAAGGTCGAAGAATTTTCGAGCTGCAGGGAGAACAGGCCGAGCTTGTAAGACAGGTGTCGCAATCGGCATACATTCCCGGATGGAGGTAACTAAGTGAAACTAACTTATATCCCTGATTAAATACAATCTTCTCTCAAATTAGCTGTAAATCCGCAGGTTTGTGCCGACGAAAAGTAACAGGAAGATGAAGGAAATGTCGATAGAAGTGAACTCATTGATCCGCGGCATCATCGACAAAAGGGTAGAGGCGATGAAAGCAGGGGAGGATGTTAAGGAAGACTTATTGGATATATTGTTGGAATCTAATTTCAAAGAAATCAAACAGCTCGGCGGCGACAAGTTTGGGATGAGCATCGAAGATGTAATAGAAGAATGCAAGTTGTTTTATTTCGCCGGTCAGGAAACAACTTCGTCGTTGCTCGTATGGACACTGATTTTATTGAGTAGGTATAGTGAGTGGCAAAATCTAGCCCGCGAAGAAGTTTTACGTGTCTTTGGGAACCAAACACCGGACTTCGACGGTTTGAATCAACTTAAAATTGTGAGTTACGTTATGTTAAGTTTTTTAGATGAGTTAAAAAGACTAGTAAACTATGTTAAGATTTCTCGATCGATTTCTTGCAGATGAACATGATCATCCACGAGGTGTTGCGACTGTATCCGCCGTTAATTTTACTTCGAAGAAAAGTCGATGAGGAGACCAAGTTAGGGAAGTTCACAATTCCAGCTGGGGTTCATTTCCTCTTACCCATACTCTTCTTGCATTATGACACTGAAATATGGGGCGACGACGCGAAGGAATTTAAGCCGGAGAGGTTTAGCGAGGGCGTTTTGAAGGCGCAGAAAACGCAAGGAATGTTTTTCCCGTTCGGCTGGGGACCTCGAATATGCATCGGGCAGATATTTGCAATGTCGGAAGCTAAAGTGGTGTTGGCCATGATTTTGCAACGCTTCTCGGTCGAGCTTTCGCCATTATATACGCATGCGCCGGACACTGTAATAACACTTCAACCTGTGCGCGGAGCTCACTTGCGTCTGCACAGGTTGTAAGAAGTTTGCAAGCTATTAAATTCGAGTAGACTATATTATTATTATTGGACAAATGGATGCATGTTTTGTGGGCAAATTGTTGGTAATAGAAAACAGGAAATCGACGTACATTAGTTTATCCCAATCAAATGCAAATCCAGATTGTTAAAGACAAAGATCCTCGACTGGATAAAAACCAAGTATACAAACAACAACGACAAAAATGTCTCATATGAAATGATGTAAGCTTAATGTCCATAGCCTTCACATTCACCTTGTAGTACTCAAATTCTTTCCTGAATTAATTCCAAGGATTCGACGTTACACACTGACCGGAGAAAATCAAATGCCGGGAGGCGAATAAATATTGTCGAAGAGATCAGAATAGTTAAGTATGAATTACCCAAAATTCTTTCCAGCGACGTTTTAACTCGAACAGCACCCAAGTTTCTTCCAAACAGATGAATTTTCTTTGATGTTAATGGTTTTCCCCTGCGACGGAATGGAGGAGGTCATCTCATTGCCAGCCTCGACAGCCTTTCTGCTTACAATATGGTGAATCTGATTAAGGACTTGGGTGAATGCATTTTCGACGTTGGTTGATTCCAAAGCAGAAGTCTCCATGAAGTAGAGTGACTCCCGCTCGGCTAGCTCTTTACCATCCTCAGTGCTGACGGCCACGAGATGTCGAAGATCAGATTTGTTGCCGATGAGCATCACTACAATGTTTGGATCAGTATGATCTCTCAACTCTCTTAGCCATCTAAGAATATTCTCAAAAGTAGCACGTCGCGTGACATCATAAACTAGAAGTGCACCAACTGCTCCTCGGTAGTAAGCACTGGTAATGGCTCGGTACCTGTGGAATGAATGAAATACAAGCGGACATATAAAGCAAAGATACATGTATCCATGTGAAAAAAAAAAGAAAAAAGAAAAACCTGAGCTGAAGTTATGGTAGAAAAAATAAATTAAAGCAGCAGAACTGATGATCAAGGCATACAACAAAACACTATAGGATAGCAAATAAATCTATAAACAACACCAGAAACAATAAACCCGTATATCCTGTCGTTTTTACTATAGAAGAATAACTTTATGGAAAAGGTACCCGTTTAAGAGAATCGGGATAAATAGTTTAGGGAAAACATTAGATACCAAACTGAGTTCTTGCAATTTGTATGGCCCTTTCTCATAGAAATGTTCAATTTTTTTGAGTCACAAGTTCAATAAGGCTCAAATGATTCAATTTTTAAAGTCCAGTAGATGTTATCAGTATTTTGATAGGTATGCAATTCCAAATTTCCGCAAAAGAAAATCCAAAACCATATCAGATCCAAAAAGAGAACCTATGCTATCACCACCATCAATGCCCCGCAGCAATACACTCTATGAATCCTAATGATTAAGTCTGCATACTCAGCCATGGCACAACCCACCAAAACTGAACATTTTACCAAGGCACAGCTACTCTCCCTTGAGTTATTCATAGCAACCCTCTTCAGCTATTATATAACTTTATCACTGAAATTGTTTCCACAGAAGGAACTGTGGCTTTCAGCACAAATCTTTCACATATAAAGCTTCTATAAGTATAAGATCCAGAGGACATACTCCTACATCCTGTTCTCTATTGTGCTCTATGGCCATTATCTATTACTTACTTCTGCCTGTGTTTAGCTATCATTGTTCTAATTAAGTGAAACTCTATAAAAATAACTACTTTGTAGTGAAGGTGGCTTTTCTTGTGCATATTTGGGTCTGAGAATAGATGATAATCCCGGATTCTGTGTGGCACATGCATGAAACATCTCTCTAGTTTTATTTAATAAGATACATTTCTCTCTAAGACTGGTTATTTACTTGCTGACTTTTAGTTTGTTGCTATCAGTTTAAAACTTCCCAAATCACGCGAACAATACAACGAGTTTTAAAGTTCAAGCGGCTATTACGAGTTAAAGAAATTCAAACACTATACTGTTGTACGGCTTTGAAAATCACGTGCTCAGTCTTTCACTACTACTCAGGCAAAGACACTAAAACCTTGTCTAGAGGTCATGTTCCAACATAGGAAAAGGTTGAACTCTTCGCTTCTTCTTGGCATTACAAGTTCCCTAACCAACTCTATTCTAACAAAGAGTAGAGAGCAAAAATGTAGTGAAAGAACATACATCCAACAATAACAGCCCTTGCTGTATATGCCTCACTATATCCCTCTCTTTATCTGTTTGCTACTGTATGTATATACTTATCTATTGCAATCCAACCAGTTTAACCGAATCAAAGTTAAAATTAGAACATAAAAGAAGCAAGGCCAGCATATTTTCACTGAGAAGGGAACCAAGTATTAGCATGATGTTCTAAGTCGAAACTTGGAATGCACATCCCCATCCACCATTGGATCAATGAAGAATCTTAACTAGTTTTCCGTATCCACATCAACTGGTAGCCAAAACAAACATATTCAAAGATATCAATCATACTACATATTATTTAAGGTCTTGGATCTAAGCACAATCCCCACTTATTGTACTAAAGAACCATAAAGAATAATACCTAAACAACTCTTCCAACAAAACACCATCCTTTATCTTCTTCAGTTTCTCTCTAACCATATACTCTTACCTTTATATACATATAGATCACGCCAAAATCCGTAACAGACATTCACAAGTAAACTATAAAACAAGCATACTCAATGGAAGTCAACTTTGCATACATATGACGGAATATTCCAAAATGAGCATTGCAGTTCAGAATAATATATAACTTGAATTGACGTGAGTTCCTAAAACGATAAAACCGACAGAAACACACACATGTGTATATACATATATAATAGAGAGATAGTGTGCGGATTTCGTAAAATCGAATTGTGTTATGAAAAACCAGAAAACAAAGATGGGGGAAGAACCTTTCTTGACCCGCAGTGTCCCAAATCTGAGCTTTGATAACCTTTCCATCTACGTTGAGGCTCCGGGTGGCAAATTCAACACCTATAGTGGACTTGGACTCGAGATTGAACTCGTTCTTGGTGAACCTGGATAAGAGGTTGGATTTCCCGACACCTGAATCCCCAATCAGCACAAGCTTGAACAGATAATCATACTCCTCGTCTGCCTTGTACCCAGCCATTCTCTCGGACGAGTTTTAAGGGAAGGAATTCGATTCCCGAGACTGATGTGAGTCAGGACCAGGGGGACTCTTGTCGGAGAAAATGGCTTTAGCTAGATTCTTGTCAAGGCTGAAACGACGTCGCTCTACTTGCTTTACTCTTTTTACATTCTTTACCCACACAATTTTATTTATTTATTTATTTCTTCTATGGTAAGATCCCGATGATGAATGTTATTAATAAAAAATAAAATATATATGCATATTCCTTCAATTTCAATTTTTTTTTTTTTTACTCCCTCCTCACAAATATATATATATATATAATACTATATCATATTTTTTGTTTTTCTTAATCCCATGTATTATATTATTTTCTTTTTTTTCAAAAAATATTATATATTTTAATTTTATTGTAAATTTTATAATTTAAAATTTCTATTATACTAATTAGTGTTTTAATCTTAATGTATAATAATTTGTATCATATTGTAATTAATTGTATTAATATATTTTTAATTATTTACTTGTTATATTTTACTTAATTTATGGTATTTTCGGTAACATTGACATAATATTTGAACTGATGGAGTATTATTTTTGTCCATTCTGTGTAAAAATTACTCCCTCCGTCCCAGATACCATGTTTATGTTGCCGTTTCTGCCCGTCGTACCATATCACTTTTCTTTTTTTAGAAAATGATTACACACTTTAATCTCATTTTAAATTTTAAATTTTTTTATTTTATTTTAATTAAACTAATTAGTTATCTTAATCTTAATTTATAATTATTTATATTATAAGATAATTATTTTTACTAATACATTCTTAATACACACTTTAATCTCATTTTAAATTTTATTTTTTTAATTTTAATTAAACTAATTAGTTATTTTAATTTTAATTTATAATTATTTATATTATAAGATAATTATTTTCAATAATACATTCTTGATTATCTACTAATTACATTCCTTTTAAAATACTGTGTTTACAGTACATCAGATACGGTGTCTGAGACGGAGGGAATTTTTTTTTTTTTAAGTTTAAAAGTGATAAACAAAGTTAAGGAAGAGGCAGAGCTGTTCAAGGAAAGAGGGATGTCAGGATGCATAAAGTAATAAAAATAAAATGTAAATGTTAAATTACATTGGAAAGTGAGTGTTAAATTGCAAGAATTAAAAAAAAAAAAAAAAAAAAAATCTGAAATAGTTTTTTGTTTTTGTTTTAAAATTTTTATATCATTATAGAATATTACTATGACGCCTCCAGGTCATCTGCCGTCTAGGGTGATTTGTCTATCGAGCCTAATTTGTAGGGTATTAAGTTCAACCAAAATTTACTCCGTATGCCACTTTCGAGTAGCGGCTGCAAATTCACACATTATTAAAAAAAAATAAAATAAAAATTTATGCCTTGATTTTGTAACTCTAAGGATGTGTTTGTTTGGGGGATTGGATTTAATTTCCACTTTCATCCCATTTTTTCTCCCAAAAATATCAAATCAAACACACATTTTTTATTTTTTATATTATACTAAAAATTAATTTTATATTCAAAACATCACATCAACACCTATTTATATCACATCGTACAACTATTCAAATTCAAAATTTTTACTATTCAAATCCCAATTCAAAATCCAAAACCCCAGACAAACACACCCTAAGTAAATTATGTATTCAATGATGAAACATATACATATATGTGCATTGATTTATGAGCCTAGTTTGATGCAAACACTGAATTATAAAATATACTGCCTCTGTGTATCGAAAGGTTACATTTTCTATTTTTATCTGTCTCAAAATAAAATTATCATTTTCTAATTTAGTAATTATACTACCATAAATATCCTTTCAATTTACAATATATACCCTTTCAATTTACAATATATTGCACCATACTAATAAAGGTATTTTTATCTTTTTCACTGTAATTCAATATAATATTAATATTAAAAGATCTTCCAATAGATATAGATGGAGACATACCTTTTGAAATTTAGAATTTAATTTATTGGACGCATGATTTGTGGAATAGTTATATATACTCAGCCAAATTAATTATTTTTACTTTCTTTTTTCATCTGTCCGCAAAAATTGTAAATTAAAAATATTTAATTATTACTTTTTATTCAAAACTTATTTACAAAAATACTATTATTTTATTATATAATTTTTTTTATTTACTTTAATTTCTAACTAAAATTTTTAAAAATATTTTCAGCTGCCTTTTAACTTTTTATCACATTTTTAATAAAATATATATTATTTTTAATCTCCGTATCGGATATAAATAAACCAATTTTAGTTGACGGAGAGAGTATTATATTAGAATAATTTGGATTGATAGCAAGTCAAATTCAAGGATCAAAGTAGTTAAACAAACTAAACTCAATTTTGTTATTCCTATATACATAAAATTTTAATTATTCTACTCCTGTCTGTCTCAATAATTGTTCACACACGATGCATGGATGCATGCAAATTAACCACGTATATATGTTTGCATTTAAATAATATAATTTAATTTAATTAATGGTTAACTTCAATTCTTCCACCCAACATTGCCTCACCTAATTACCTTACCTTAAATACCTGCTCCGATCCCTTAATTTTGGGCGATTTGGAGGGACATTTATTTCATTTTCTTCAGCCCCCAATCCAAACACGACGATGAGATTTATTTATTTATTTATTATAAATATATAAATATAATATAATACTGACTTTGTTCCAATAGGGCAATCGAGGCCCAATAAGAGAAAGGAAAATGCATATATGGTACAGATGTCGACTCCCCAGCTGTAACGTGCCAGGCACGTGGTCGTAGGCGGCATCTGCCAGCTGTGTTCTATGCCAAAGTCGGCTGGCCAACACCTTATCCTCTTTCTTTTTCGGCTTTGATAACGCCACCCTCACAGTCTGTCACCGTCACCCACCGCGTTAAAAATAGTTTCTATTTTATTCGTATAATAATAATATAATAAGATAGGAATTTTTCAGATTAAATAATCATCAACGCTATTTTGGTAATAACTGTCTCTGTCTGTCTTGTCTGTGAGCTGCGCCTGCGCGGGTGAGTTTAGTGATTCTTTTATTTGTTGGCACGTTTTGTTCCCCAGGCAAACAATATTTTATCCAATCCACCAACTAAGACTTCAAATTTATTCGTTTTCTTTTTTGTTTATTGTTCTGTTGAATATTCATATCACGGTTTCTTGGAGATGATCGTCGATGCATTTCGCACGCCTACGCGCAAGATTGTGTCTATCATTTTCTAGATTTATCTGTTTTGTTGTAGCGTCCGACGCTAGCCTCCCATTTTTCGATTTTTGGTTTCTATATATGTAATTTTATTTTTTTGGTAAGGGATTACTTGCTTGATTTAATCGCGGAGGCCACCGCGGTAGCCATTTCTGGCGGAGCGCGCGTCTGATTGAAATGCCCTGAAAATTAGGGTTTGTATTTACAATGCTTTGATGTATACGATGATTTAAGTATGTGGCTTCGGTTAGAGGAGTTCGTTGTGTTGTTTCTTTGCATTGTGTATTAATATCGATTGTTTTGCTGTAATGTTTGCTTTGTTGGTTCGAACCTGGTTTCTTTTTGTTCTTGGATTCATAAAATGGGTTTTGAGGATTTGCTCTAGAACTGAATGAATGTTTAAATGCAGGTGATTTAAAGGAGGTTTTTTTGAAACGCTGCAGAATTGGGATTGGTGTTGAGATTTGGGCCAAGATTTACTGTGATATAGAGGTGATCGTAAGGGGAGAATCGCAAAGATGATGTCAAGATCTTATACCAACCTTTTGGATTTAGCTTCTGGGAATTTCCCAATAATTGGTAGGGACAAGGAGCGGAAGCGTTTCCCGAGGGTAATGACGCTTCCGGGAAGTATTGTGGAGCTTGATGATGAACAAGCAAGTAGTGTTACATCCGAAAACCAATCTTCAATTACTGGTGAGAGAATGATCATTGTGTCTAACCTTTTGCCTTTGAAGGCTAAACGAAGACCGGATAATAAAGGCTGGAGTTTTAGTTGGAATGAAGACTCATTGCTTCTACGGGTGAAGGATGGTTTTCCTGAAGACATGGAGGTACTGTATGTCGGGTCATTGTCTGTTGATGTTGATCCAATCGAGCAGGATGATGTATCCAATTATCTCTTGGAGAAGTTTAACTGTGTTCCTACATTTCTGCCACCGAGTCTTCTGGAGAAGTATTACCATGGATTTTGTAAGAAGCAGCTGTGGCCGCTGTTTCATTACATGCTACCATTTTCGGCTGATCGTGGAGGTAGATTTGACAGGTCTATGTGGGAAGCATATGTATCTGCCAATAAATTGTTCTCACAGAAGGTTATTGAGGTGCTTAATCCAGAGGATGACTATGTTTGGATTCATGATTATCATTTGATGGTTTTGCCCACATTTTTGAGGAGGCACTTTGTGCGTTTAAGAATGGGTTTTTTTCTTCATAGTCCGTTTCCTTCATCCGAGATTTACAGATCACTTCCTGTTAGGGAAGAAATCATCAAGGCCTTACTTAATGCAGACTTGATTGGTTTTCACACCTTTGATTATGCACGCCATTTCCTATCCTGTTGCAGTCGAATGTTGGGCCTTGAATATCAATCAAAAAGGGGATATATAGGTTTGGAGTTCTATGGAAGAACAGTAGGAATAAAGATTATGCCAGTTGGAATACATATGGGTCATATTGAGTCAGTGATTAAACAAGCAGATAAAGAGCTCAAGGTTGAGGAGCTAAAGCGGCAGTTTGAAGGAAAGACAGTGTTGCTTGGAGTTGATGACATGGACATATTTAAAGGTATCAACTTGAAATTTTTAGCTATGGAACACATGCTCAAGCAACATCCAAATTGGCAGGGCAAGGCTGTACTGGTGCAGATTGCAAACCCTGCTAGAGGGAGAGGTATAAATTTGGAGGAAATACAGGCTGAAATAGAAGAGAACTGCAATAGAATTAACAAGGAGCTTGGGCAGCCTGGATATGAACCCATAGTTTATATTCACCATCCTTTATCAATCAGTGAAAGAATGGCATATTACAGCATCGCTGAGTGTGTTGTTGTGACTGCAGTGAGGGATGGGATGAACCTGACTCCTTACGAATATATTGTCTGCAGACAAGGAGTATCTGGTGATGAAATGCGGTCAGAATTGAGTGGACCTAAGAAGAGCATGCTAGTGGTGTCCGAATTCATTGGTTGCTCTCCTTCCCTAAGTGGTGCTATTCGTGTTAATCCATGGAATGTTGAGTCAACTGCTGAAGCCTTGAACGAATCTATATCGATGGCTGAATCAGAGAAAGAGTTAAGACATGAGAAGCATTACCGATATGTCAGTACCCATGATGTAGCTTTTTGGTCAAGGAGTTTCTTGCAAGATATGGAAAGAACGTGTGCTGATCATTTTAGGAAACGATGCTGGGGCATTGGTCTTGGCTTTGGATTCCGGGTGGTGGCTTTAGATCCTAACTTTAGAAAGCTATCAATAGATGATATTGTGGCTGCTTACTGCAAAGCTAAAAGCAGGGCTATACTATTGGATTATGATGGCACGCTGATGCCCCAAAATTCAATAATTAAGACCCCAAGTGCCCAAGTTCTCTCTCTCTTAAACAGGCTATGTGTAGATACCAAAAATGTAGTTTTTATGGTGAGTGGAAGAGGAAGGCGTAGCTTAAGTGACTGGTTTTCCTCTTGCAAGAAGCTGGGACTTGCTGCGGAACATGGCTACTTTTTAAGGTATGCTTCTTACTTGCTTAACATAGTTCAGAGTATATGGTAAGACCGTGAAATACCCACAAAACTGTTAAACTTGTGACTTAATGTAAGAAACTAGGTGAACTTGAGAAGATCAGCTGTATCAGTAACCAGATAAGAAATTATGTTAGATTGGAATGACAATATCAGTGATCTAACTTCTATATATAATATTCATAATAGTTGTTGCTAGTTCAGATTAAAAGTTATAGTTTATGGAGGTGTTTGGTGTTTTTATTATTTGTGTGTGTGAGAGTGTGTTTTCGATTTTGATGTTTATGAAAGTTTTTGGATGTGATTGGATGTGGTGTTTTTTTGAAGAAAATTGAAAGATAGAATATTTTTTAAAAGAAAAAGATGCTAAGAGAACAATCCCTTTGTTAAGACACTCAATCAGCTAAGCACAAGTTTCAACATATCAACAGTGCTCTTGCTTTTGCATACGTATAAAAACTTATTTATTGAATTCATTAACCGCCTGTTCAAATTAATTTTAATTTATTTGTACTCTTCAAAACACTATATATTACATCCTAAAGCTACCCATCAATCTTATATCCAATAATACTATAAGTTGGTTGAGGTGAAGTGAAGTATGTGCTTTATACCGTTGCCTGATCTAATTATCTCAAGCCTCCATTAGCTTAAACCTTAATTGATGATATTATGGTATTTCAAATGTAGATTTCAATTCATACTTCTGGGCTTTGTCTACTGGTTTCTGTTGCTTTAGATTTCTTTTCTTTGTTTATACTTTATATATTTGAACCAATATGTGGAAATTCTCAGTGGATAAGTTGAATTGGATAGTTGGTCAGGGCCGAATCACATGACATTTAGGATGCCTCTAATGCATATTTGACATGACTTTGGTGTGGCAAAAATATTTGCCCATAAAAACATTCGTGTGAAGAGGTTACTCATAGTGCGTCACTGCTAGTGGCATACACTTGCATGATGCTCCCAACACATGCTTTCCTTTGGATAATTTGTCAGAGTTTATAAAAAAAAAACATTTCCTGTGAACATAAATTGGTTGGTATTATATCATGTTATTCTTCCGGTTAAGTAACTGTTATGGTTGATGGACTCTTGTGCATATTATAGATGGCATCAGATTGTCATTTCTTCAGTATTCTTATTTTCATTTTTATTCAACTTTTTGGTGAAATTTCATGTAAGATGATCTGGAATTGAAGGTGGCCGCAGTGTGAGGAGTGGGAGACATATGACCAAGGATCCGAATTTGGATGGATGCAGATGGCTGAACCCGTTATGAATTCATATACTGAGTCTACCGATGGTTCTGGAATCGAGAGAAAGGAAAGTGCTTTAGTTTGGCATTACAATGATGCAGATCCTGGATTCGGTTTTTCCCAGGCGAAAGAAATGTTGGACCATTTAGAGAGCGTGCTAGCAAATGAACCCGTTGCTGTGAAAAGTGGGCAGTTTATTGTAGAAGTGAAACCTCAGGCAAGTGCTACTACTATTTTTTCTGCATTCTTTCATTGTTTTTCTCTCTTTCTAATATCATTTATTATATTTCTCTTAACGCTGTCCAGTTATAAACAATTATTATTTCTCTTAGCCCTATTATTCCTTTCACAAATGTTTTTGAAAGATCTAAACATGAGATCAAGGATGCTGCACTTTGTCTATGCAGGGTGTTAGCAAAGGTGTAGTTGCAGAAAAGATTTTCACATCAATGACGAATAATGAGAAACAGGCAGATTTTGTGCTGTGCGTTGGTGATGATAGATCTGATGAGGATATGTTTGAACTAATCAGTACGGCAGTGTCTAGACAAATCCTATCTTACAACACCGAAGTCTTTGCATGCACAGTAGGGCAAAAACCCAGCAAAGCTAAGTATTATTTGGACGACTCATCTGAAGTGGTGGCAATGCTAGAGTCTCTTGCTGAAGCTACTGATTCTCCAGCAACATCAGATGAGGAAACCCATATCTCCCAAGCCTCAAGAAGATTCAGTCACTTTTCTATTGCTTGAATCTGCTTAATATGGATATTTAGCTAATCGAATATTTTTATATATGGATATTAGATTTTAGGCACCAGAAATGGAAATTATATACTATTCTTCTTCTTCTTCTTCTTCTTTCTTCTTCTTTTCGTTTCTTTTTTTCCTCATCCTTCTACCATTAGTCTTGAGCAATTTCTTGGGAGAAGAGTTTGCATCGAACTCAGTTGAGATTCTGAGGAGAATATGAGGGTACAATGAGAGTTGTGAACAGGTCTTGAGAGTAACTTCTTACAAGCACAAGGACCATAAATTTGGGAAACTTTGATTATCTGAGGCGGAAGAGACGAAGGTGGACAAAGGTTTCCTGCTTCCTTCCCTGCAACGCGAAGGGAGTTTATTATGAAGCAGAAAGTATTGGTTGTCACGATGAAAACCTGTTAAAGAAAGCTGTGGTTCTGTGTTTGGCGATTCTTGCAAGTGGTCAATCACTTGGAATTTGTGGCACTTTGTAGATTGGCTCATTGGATTTGCTAGTCTCCCCTGTACAGGTTAGTATGGCTTCTTCTACTTGTCTTTTTTTCATTTCTTTCTTTCATTTTGCATTCCTTTGGGACTGTCCCAATAAAAGTGTAATGTGGATGTGGGTTGATAAAAAACCATGGTTTCTTAGACAGAAGGATGCATCTCTAAGCCACATTTTCTTTGTGGGGGGGGGGGGGGGGGGGGGGGGGGGGTTTAAAATATTGGACTTTGTTAAATTTGTGGATAGTTTCATTATCTTGTTTAGTTATATAGAATTTTAGGTTGTGTTCAATTGAACATGTGTTGATGCTATGGGATTGGGGGGTGTATACTCGTTAGCGCATATATATATATAAGCAAGTGAAAAGTGGATCTTGTGTCTTTGGATAAGCATTTAGAGATGGTTTTTTTTGATAACGTGAGAATCACGACCGAACCTAATATCCTGCAAAGGTGACCGCGTCGGGAGTTTGAACCCATGACCTCACGGTCACAAGTTCAACCCCTACACTATCAGGCCATTCTTGACGGGACTTTAGAGATGGGTTTTTGTGTATGGTATGCTATGGTTTGGTGGAATAATAAATTTAAATAGGAATAGAATGTTAAAAATGAAATGCCTCCCCCTTTTAAACTAGGATATATATATATATATATATATATATAGCATTCTCCTTTATTCACTGAATGATAGAAAATTTTGAATATCTTGTGATTCTAAATTGGACATCACCACTAACCACACTTCCATTTAAAATCAACAAAGAGTTGGCTCTAATATTTTTCTAGTTAGAATTCTTGTTTTTTTTTTTTTTTTTGTTTATTTATTTAATCATTCAATTTTTATAAACATGCAAGTATTATTTAAAATTGAACACTCTGGATGAGGTTTTGGTGCCGATTAAATACATACGGCTGTGTGGTGTGATATTACTGATAGTTTTGTGAAAATGAGATTACAATTATTTGTATTGTAACTATGAGTATTTATTATTAGTTTTTAAATATCATATTATATATTTACTTTTAATACAATAAGGGTGTGTTTGTTTTGCACTTCAAGTTCAAATTTAATTTAGATCACACCATTACCAATAAAAATATGCTTTTTCTTGCAAAATATTATTATTATTATTATTATTTTCTCACAAAATTTATGTTAAAATATTATTTAAATCAAAATTAAATTAAAAATTCAATTTCAAACTCGAAGCAAATAAACCTATTATATATACATATTATTTTTTTCATTCCAAACATATACCATTAAATATTGATTTAAATCACCACAAACAAACCTTTGATTTTAAACTTTTTACTAATAAAGGCTCAAAACAAAACCACCCAAACAAACTAGGCATATCTAGCACTGAGTTCGAGTTATTATTTGTAATAGCTAGTAAACCTGAAACTAGGCATCCCTAAAGGATCAAACAAAGTTAATTCCCAAGTGTCGTTTTGTCGGGTTTAGTTTGCAAGCTATTAGGTTCAATAAGAAGTTTACCTAGAGCGCACTCTAAGAATAGCGGCTGCGGTTTCCTATATTATAAAATAAATAAATAAATAACTAAGGCAAACCGAGGGCTATCGATTCGTGCTTTTTAGTTGTGTTCGCGTCGGGTGACTTGTATAATAAGGGTGACTTGTATAATAAGAACGAACGATTTGAACATGACTAGAATATGATTTTCAATCCAAACACGACATGAATTTTTTTCAAAGTCAGATTCAAGTCAATTTGATTTTGTTTCAGATAATCCAATAACCCGAAAAACCTAACATGAAAGATTTGAAAACCTAAAAATATTAAACTTTATCTAAAAAAAATTGATATAAAACAAATCCGAAAAACTGAATTTTTAAATAATAAGTATTATAATTTCAATTTTTTAATACTCCATTTTCCCATTTCAAATGAATAAGATAGATGCAAGTTTAATTGGTTATGATATTATTTTAATTTTATTATATTTTTATATAAGCAATATGGTTGGTAATTTTAAAATTATAATTAAAATAAATTTAAAATGTGTTTAAATATTTTTAATACTCTCTTCTTCCCCCAGGTTATATTTTTCATTTTTGTCCATTCCAAAATAAGGTTACAATTTCTAATTTAGTAACGTACTTAATATAATAAATACCTTTCAACTTATAATATATTACACAAATGTCATTATTTTTATATCAATATTTTTGTCTTTTTTTTTACTATAATCCAATATAATACTAATATTAAAAAATTTTCGTGCAAAAAACAAACGTCACCTATCCAATGGGACGGTGGGAGTATGATATCTTAATAGAATAAATTTTTTAAATAATACAAATAAATAAAAAGTAATATATATATTTTTTAAGATAATCTAATTTTTAAAAAAAAATAAAAAGTTTTAAATGTAGTTAAAAATATTTCTTTACAAATAAAAAGATTTTAAAGGAGTTTATGTAATATATAATTTTATATGTTATAAAATTATTAAGTTACTTTATATATTATATATATATACATAAATAAACATGTAAAGTAAAGTGATATAAAAAAAAAATAAAAACGAATCAATTAAAATGGGACTAGTATTATTTTATTTTGTAATACATTATAATTAAAAAGAAATAAATTAATTTTAATTATAAAATGGTTAAAGATCAAGTTGAGTTTGTATATCAGGTTATCCTATGACCTATGACCTAATTTTTATATTTCCAGTTATCAATTCAGTCCGCCGTATCCAACCTAATTTTCTTTTCTTTTTTTTTTTTTTTCTTTTTTTTTTTTGTTTCAAGTAGAAGTCAACGGCAAACCTGAAAATTTTTTAGGTCAAAGGAGTTCAATTTTGACCGAGACAAACCAATCTAAATCGAAAAGTTACAGAGGATGATGAGTAGCTGTGTAGTAAAATATATAGCTAATGACGAGCAGCAAGGATCTAATTAATAAATACAGCATTAGAAAGAACATCAAATGAATCAACAAAGTTATATTTGCTTTCAAAGTTTGATCTCTGTATATACATACATTACACACACGCGCACACACACACATATATATATATATATGCAATTGATAATTAAATTATACAGCCACTGCAGCTGGTGTAGAAGTAACTCTATTTTCAGCCGGAATTTCCACAAACTCCGACAGGATTGCCCGGAATTCCTCTCCGGTCATCGTCTCCTTCTCCAGAAGAACTTCCACGATCTTGTCCATGGCCTCGCGATTGTTCCTGATGTGGCTCAAAGCAATCTCGTATGCGCTGTCTGATATCTGTTTGACTGCTGCATCGATATCTTCGGCTAGCTTTTCTGACATTGAATTCCTTGCCATCATTCTCATGATCACATCACCACTTTGAGCAGATGAGTCCATCAGCGACCATGGCCCGATTTCAGACATGCCGAAGGCAACAACCATCTGCAAGGGAATATGATGACTTAACTATGAAAAGGGTCCGACTAATGTTGAAGCAAAACTACACCAAAATGTATCCATTTCTACTGCAGTTTAATTACAATGTATAAAAAAATTCGTCATCGATTTTCTACAAATTTTAGGCACATAGTTTATAAGGCAGAGTTACCAATGAATATAATAACACTGAGCGGACTTAACCATCGAATACATGGATCACACTCTCAAGAATTTTGTGTTAATATTACCAACAAGTAAAAGAATAATCTCTCCGTCCCTTAATAAACTATCTATTTTTCTATTTTCGTCTGTCTTATAACAAGTATCAATTTTCATTTTTAGTAACGGTACTATCTACGTAACATTACAAATATCATTTCAATCTGCAATCTATTACACAAATATTATACCCTTTATATCATATAATACTATTAGTCTTTTTATTTTTATTTTTACTATATTCCAATATAATACTAATAATTCTGAAATTCTATGCAAAAAGCAATCGGATAGATAGATATGGGACAGAGGGAGTAACAAATATTTGACGATACAGTATGTCCCTCAACACAACATTTTCGTGTTACTCTTACCAGACCTGAAACTTAACATGACTAAGCACAAAATACCTATATGGATGCAACAAAATAGAAAAGAACAGTTTGTGTGGGAATAGGAAAGCAATTTTTACCTGCTTGGCCAAACCAGTGATTTGTTGCAAATCACCAACTGCACCAGTCGTGACCTCTGGCTCCCCGAATATGATCTCCTCAGCAGCCCGTCCGCCAAGCCCGCCAACAATTCTGGCAAATAGCTGCTGCTTGGATATCAAGGTTGGATCATCTCCTGGGATGAACCAAGTCAAACCACGTGCTTGCCCACGTGGGATTAAAGTCACCTTTTGAACAGGATCATGCCCTGGAGTTAGGGTTCTGCATTGGAAGCAAAGAATACCACGAGTGTTACCTTACACACTACCGATAATTAGTTCATACAAACAGAGCACAAAGTCGTTAACAGCAGGAAGCTACTAAAACACAGACCACCAATACGCCACTCAGGTTAATCTTGTTAGAAGTTTTCGCAAAACGTAAGGGTCAAAGAAGCATTTTAAAATATTCATATTTTCACATGAGGTAACATGCAACAAGTTTGACAGCTCCACTACGATTGCTAAAGATTAAAGATGGCCTATTTAGATTTACTAGCAAAGTTTGATCAACAGAAACTTCCATGTCCAAACGGGGAAGCATCGAGCACAGATTTGAACTTACCCACAAATGGCATGGCCTACTTCATGGTAAGCCACAAGACTTTTGCTTTTGCCATCCGTCATCACCGTTCCTTCCATGCCAGCAACAATCCTGTCGATCGAATCATCAATCTCTTTAGATGAAATTGCTGTCTTACCCCTCCTTCCAGCCAGAATAGCCGCTTCATTCAAGAGGTTAGCAAGATCTGCTCCACTAAAACCTGGGGTCCTCATGGCTATCACTTCAAGTGAAACATCAGAATCAAACTTCTTATTGCCCCCATGAACCTTCAAGATCTCAGTTCTTCCACGAATGTCAGGAACATCAACTGTCACCTGCATAAAGGTTCGAATTATAGGGACAATGTATAGGCTAGTTGTATTTACTACACAAGCAAGATATATATAGCCTTAATTTACCTGTCTATCAAACCTTCCTGGTCTCAACAAGGCAGAGTCGAGAATATCTGCACGGTTAGTTGCCGCAATTACAATAATACCAGTATTCCCTTCAAAACCATCCATTTCTGTCAACAGTTGATTTAATGTTTGCTCCCTTTCGTCATTTCCACCACCAATGCCTGTTCCTCTCTGACGTCCAACAGCATCAATTTCATCAACAAAAACAATACAGGGGGCGTTTTCCTTGGCTTTCTTGAATAGATCACGAACACGAGATGCACCAACGCCAACAAACATTTCAACAAACTCGGAACCTGAGATTGAGAAAAATGGTACACCTGCTTCCCCAGCTATAGCCTTGGCAAGCAGCGTCTTCCCCGTACCAGGAGGACCAACAAGAAGAACGCCCTTAGGTATACGAGCACCCACAGCAGTAAACCTCTCTGGCTTCTTCAAGAATTCCACCACCTCCATGAAATCTTGCTTTGCTTCATCTACTCCAGCAACATCATCAAAAGTCACCCCTGTGTTCGGTTCCATCTGGAATTTAGCCTTTGATTGACCAAATGTGAGTGGGAAACCAGGCCCACCGGGACCACCCATACCGCCAGAAGATCTTCTCGAGAGAAGGAAAAGACCGCCAATCAAAATTAAAGGGAAGGCCAAATTTCCAATTAAGTTAAACAAGACTGAACCCGATTCCTCTTGAGCAGTGTGGGCAGCAAAGTCGATGTTCTTCTCTCTGAACTTCTGCAGAAGCTCCTGGCTCAGCCCCGGGAGCTGTACCCGCACTCTCTGCACACGATTGCCCAACTCTGGGGAGATAGCTTCAACTATGGCAATGGTACCATTTTCAAACAAATCAACCTTTTTCACCCTATCCTTGTCAAGATACTCCAGAAATCTAGAATAAGACATCCTAGAGTTAGAAACGCCTTGATCATCTGCAAGAGCTTTTTGGTTGCCCAGCAATGCTGGTATGGCAGCTCCAGCATTACCGAGCAACAATTTCATGAAGCCTCTTCTGCCTTCATTTGCCCTTTGATCCAACAATGCTCTGACGCTAACTATTCTAGATGGATGGTTCAATCCTGGAAGCTTTGAGGACTGGATAATTCGCCTGCCATAGATTTCCTTGTGCAGATTTGTTCTAGCATTGCTGGCAGATATGCTGTTTCCCACTACACAAGCAGATGATGCAGCCATCTATATTCCTAAGCAATTCAGAAAACAAATGGGGGCTAATCAACCTCTCAACAAAGACAAAATATTACAATCAAAGCCTATTTAATCACAAAACAGTAATCTTATGTCAGGAGGATAAACATACACAGAACAAACTTTTTATCATCACAAGAAATGAGTTTCCTTCGGCTATTATGAATATGGATCGATCTTAGATTATTCCATTACTTCTGATGTTACAGGAACTCTTCATGCCTCACACACTTGCAATAAGTACGACAAACATTAGGGCAGCAAAGCAGAATCACAAGCCAACTTAAAAAGATTATAGATCGACCAAATTGAACATCAATGTTACGCCAGCTCCAACTTCACCATTTATCATCGCAAAACTGACTCATCGACAAAAATTGAACGGAATATCTCACTGAGCAGACAAAAAATAGCAATTCCATCACAAAACGCAATTAACAAGTCCGATCACAGAGCCCAATTATGAACAAGCCCGAAAACATAACTAAGCCGAAACGAAGATGAATATCAATACCCCCGCCAAATTGCCAACATGAGAGAGAACACAACACTTGCACTATGCCATAAGGTAGAACAGACAATGCAAAAATGTACAAACCTGCGAGGAGGAGGCAACCCTGAAGAACCAATGAATGAAGGATGGGCGGGGCGTTGGAGAGATTTAGAGGAAATGGATGTGGTTCGGAACAGCGCACGTGGCAATAACTAGGCGATTGATTGATTAGTCTACCCTCCCATTTTAGTGTCCGAGATTTTTCCGTCTGCAATTTGGCAGTTTGTAAAGTGTTTCAATTTTTGGGGTTTAGGGTTTTTGTTGGTCAATTTGGTTTCGAAAAGTTTGTGGAGTGTTTGTTACGGACGTGTCATCCCCTTTGTTAAGTATTTATATGTGGTTAAAGGTGCCAAGTGAGCATTCGAATTTTCGAATGTAATTTTGTGAAATTTAACTCGATTTCAAAATTTGAAATTTTTGAAAAAATTAAATATGAATCGAACAGAAAAATATCAAATTTCAACATTCTAAATCGGTCGGACATACCCTGAAACTTTAGGTCAAATCCATTTTTGGATCACTTTTTTCGGAGTGTAATTACAAATTACTATTAAACAAATTACAATAGAGAAGTAAACACTATATAGAATATGGTGGTAATAAAAATTTGAAATACGATCATGTTCAGAGCATGGTCGTGAATAAAGGTTTGAATATGGTCATGTTCAGAATAGGTTATGGACAGACTGTATTGATTGTCTGTGGAGCTTAGTCAATTTAGTGAATTATCCAACACTACAACATTCAATCCTATGAGCTCTTATGTGACTAAAATTGATTAATTTAATTCGAATAAAATCAAAGTTGTTAAAATTTTTTAATGAAACCAAAATTAATTTTATCTCGTATTTCAAACAGAATCAAAGCTAACCCAAGTGAATATAAATTTTAAAATATAATAATATAAATATATTATGTTCAATTCAGTTAACTTAGCAAATATTAAAAATCGCAATTGAATCAAACAAAATAAATATCAAACAAAGGTAATATTAAGAGCTCAACTAACTGATGATAAAGAGTCAAATTTTTGACAGGAAAGCCGTCTTAAGGGGTAAGTCGACAAATGGACTCAAGAAGTATGGAGATGCTCTTGCTATAGGTCAGATCAACACGATAGATAATATTAGATGTGTATATAACCTGAGATAAGAAGCCATCCTAAATTTCAAATTTCAAGAAATATCATAGATGACTAAGACTTTACATCTCAAAGTAATGGCTGAGATAGACCTACAATTCAAAAGTACTAGAAGTATCATCGCCATCCGCAGTGATGATCATATTATCAATATACTACTCCCTCCGTCCCAATACAATAGTCTTGTTTATCATTTTTGTTCGTCCCAAAACAATAATCTCATTTCCATAAATAATTATATCACCATAAAATTATCCCTTCTTTTTCATTATTATTACACAATTGCCACTACTTTTTACACTAATATACTCACAAGGGCAAAAAAGTCATTTATCCATAATTTTTACCAACCACCAATATAATATCAATATTTCTTAAATCTCGTGTCCAACACAATTAAACTATACTTTTGGGACGGAGGGAGTATAATATAATAATAACCCAAAGAACCCTAACAAATAATTAGAGTCGAGTTCAAATCCCGACGCCTTTAGATCCACCTGCCACATATAGTTCGCCTACTGTGACTTGCCTTGTCGGGCCTAATACAGAGAGGCGGGCTCATGTAAAAAGTCTTCAATTAAGTCCTTGTATAAGAAAATCGCATAGAGGTAAGTCGAACGAATGAAGCTATATTCTTGCGAGTGACCTTTTGCGACAAAGAGAGTCTTGTAGCACTCAATCAAACCATCAAAGTGGATTTTGATTTTGTAAATCCATTCACATCTAATAAGTTTCTTACCGGCAGCATAATCACAAAATCCCGGGTACCTATGCTTCCGATGAAGATAAAACCACAACTTACACGGGTATGTCTTACTAACACATTTGGAAAATGAGTAGTTGTGGATGCAACGAAATTGGGCATGGTCGATAATGTTCAACTTACTTTATAGACCTACAAATTCAACTTACTAATACATAAGTTGAAAAGTGATTGGTTCTTATATGCGAGGCATACACTCGGGACATAATTTTTTATCCAGAACACATTAAAAAAACAACGATTGCCAGCTTTATATCATTAAAGAAAATGAAAACTCAAATAAGTAAATTAGATTGCACATCGTCTATGGTATAGGTAGAACAGAGATTTTATTCCAATTATTTTAAAATCATGCAAGATTATTACCATGTCCATATGTAAATAAACTATAAATTGGACGATTGTCACGTGACTGGTTATAGTTTGTCCAAACACCTATTATTGAAGACAATTTGGTTAGTTGTGTTTGGTAATCAATTAGTTTGTCTTCAACAATATTAGGCTCCAAATTATTTTGAAATTTTATAAATTTCAAAATAGTAAATATTTAATATTTAATATTTAATGTGATATTTAATATTTAATATTTACTTTTTTTATAAAAAAATATACTATCTCTGTCATTTAATTTTATATTCATTTGACGAGACACAAATTTTTTTTAAAAAAAATAGATAAAAATAAAAAATTTTACTTTTTTGGGTAAAGAAAAAGTAGAAAATGATATTTTTTTACTAAAAAAAAAACGAGAATAAATTTAAATGACAACAAAAAAAAAATCAAAATAAATTTGGATTATGGGTATATGCTCCCTCCGTCCAAGCAAAAAATATACATTTATTATTGACGCGAAGTTTAAGAAATAATAGTATTTTAATTATAATGAATAAGTAGAAGTAATATAATGATATTTTTTTATTTACTTTTTGGTATAAAAGTAACGATGTAAAGTAAAAGTATTTTTGGAAAAAATAAATATTTAGTGAAATAGTTACTTTGTAATTGGACATTCCAAAAATATATATACTTTGTAGCTGAACGGATGAAGTATATTATATATTAAAATTTGTAGCGGTAGAAATTTGATTAACAAATAAACCCTCGATAATTTGATGGCCTTAACCCCTCTTTCGTGTTAATGTTATGCTTCGTCATTTTAAGAACTCATTAAGAACTCGTTAAGAAGTCATTTAATTTTTTATTCAAATTGTAGAATCGAATTTTAGTTTTTTTAATTTTTTCCACATCAACAAATAATTATATTTTAATGTAAAAGTGAGATAGATAAAATATAAAATAAAATTGAAAAATTTATTAAAGAATAGATAAAAGGATGATATGATAAGTAAAAAAAATAACGACAAATTGATTATTATTTATTAAATTATGAAAAATAAAATGATGGATGAAAAAAATTAATTATTATAAATAAGTTGTGCATAAATTTAGTTGACAATCAAAAAAATAAAATATGACATAAGGATAAATTATTTTATAGTATTGATTTTATATGTGTACTATAGATATTTTATAAAATAAAAAAAGAAATCAAGTACTTCTTCCGCCCTAATACAATAGTCTTGTTTACTATTTTTGTCCGTTTCAAAACAATAGTCTCATTTCTATAAATAACCATATCACTGTAAAATTACATTTACTTTTTCATTATTATTACACAATTGTCACTACTTTTTACACTAATACACTCAAATGACAAAAAAGTCTTTTACCCGTACCTTTTACACACTACCAATATAATATCAATATTTCTTAAATCTCGTGTCAAACACAATCCAGATTATAGTTTAGGGACGGAGGGTATATAATTTTATATACTTTTTCCATCTCAAATAAAAGTATTCATTTGAGTTTTTGTAATAGATTAAAAATTATTGATTCTTCTGTCTCAAATAACTTGCAATATTTTTCATTTTAGTTTGTTTCAAATATCTTGTAATATTTTCAAAATAAAAAATAATTAATTATACTTTATCTTATCACATGACTCAAATAAAAACATAAATACTATACTCTTATCACATCACATTATTTAATTTCTAATTTATTCTACATAATACTACACCCCTAAATTCACAATCAAAAAACCAAATATTTTACTATATATGGGATGAATGAGTATATTTTATTGGTAAGTGAAAATACGTGAGAAAATTTTAATATTTTTATTATTTTTACTTTATACTTTATGTATATGTGTATAATATATATGTAATTTATGTAAAAATAAAAAATATTTTAGTATTAATATGCGACTACTTTTACTATAATAAAAATAAATATTTTTGAGACGAAGATAATAAAAAAATACTTTAAGTTGAAATAAAGAATATTATTTAATATATTTATACTTCCCGTCTCATAAGAATGATACTTATTTTTCATTTTTGTTCGTCCTAAAACAAAAGTACTATTTCTTAATTTAGTAATTATACTACATGCCTAACATAATTAATACTCTTAAACTTCTAATATATTACACAAATATCATTACTTTTGTACCACACAATATAAAATAAGAGCCAATGTGTCATTTTAACTATAACCAATATAATACTATATTTAAAAATTTATGTAAAAAAATAAATATTATCGATTTTATGGAATAGTATTTAATTTCATATATTAAATAAAAATATATATAATTATAATTATAATAATATATTGTAGATATATATTTTCTTTCCTCCATGTATATGCATGAAATGCAGCATTTTTAACAAAAACATAACATATTTATCTACTCTATTTATCCAGTAAATTATGTAGATTTGGGTATAGAAACAAAAAAATAATGATATTTAAATATTAAATGAGATAAATTAAAAAAAGAAAAAGTAAAATTTTTTAAAATAAGTGATAAAGAAATGATAAAGTAAACAATTAGTTACTTTCTTTGATCTACTTATCTTTTTATTTTTGTCAATTTCACTTATTTTTATTAATTTCTGTTTTTTAAAAAAATCATACACTTTATCTTATTTTAAAAAATTTTAATTAAATTTTTTTAAATTAAACTATTTAATTATCTTAATTTTATTTCATAATTATTTTTATTAAATTCTAATTACTTTTATTAGGGTAAACTGATTTTTAGATCAGTAACTAAATTCTTTTATCATTTTAGTTGCGTAATTGAAGACTGTTTTAAAATAGTCTCGTAAGTGAATTTTTTTCTCAATTTAATCCTCAATGCCTAGGTGGCATTTGTGTGGCAGGCTGACGGACACGTGTCGGAAAATCAACATCACATGGATTATTTTTATTTTTATTTTTTTAATATAAAAAATTAAAATTATAAAAATAAAATATAAACATATAAAATTAAAAATTAAAAATTAAAAATAAATAAAATATAGTAAAAAATAAAATTATCCATATGTCCGTCAAATCAGCACTACATGACTTTGAATAATTTATATATTAGTATATTTTTTAATTATATTATATATATATTATTTTTAATATAAAAGATATAAATTATCCACGTAGCCGTCGTGTGGCGCTGATCTGACGGACATGTGGATAATTTTTATGTTTTAATTTTAATTTTTATATTTTATATTTTATTTTTTAAAAAAATTTTAAATTTTTAAATTCTATTTTTTTTTATATATTTTATATATTTAATTTTTATTTTTAAATTTTTTTATTAAAAAATAAAAATATAAAAAGTATCAACGTGCCATGTCAACATATGCCATTAGATATTGAGCCATGTGGCACTGACAGATACCATTAGATATTAAGGACTACGTATGCCATTAGATATTGAGGACTAAATTAAAATAATTTTATATTTACAGGACTTTTTTAAGACAATATGATAAAAGAGTTCAGTTATATGACTAAAAACATAGTTTATCATTTTTATTAATATATTTTTTAATTATTTACTAATTGACGGTCTATACTTAAGTGAGACGGAGAAAAAGTGTTTATTTTCGCATGTTAAGCACACGGACAAAGCACGTTACGGCTAGATGCTCCGAACTACAAAAAAAACATGTTAGTTGTAACCCAATCACCTCACCTCAACTGGAAAAACTCTACACAACGTCAACGGTGGACCGCTCTCTTTCTTTTTCTTTCTCTTGTAATTGCAGTTTCAGAATATAGATAACTTGTTAGTTTGTTTAGATAAGAATTTTTAAAAATTTTAAAGTTTTTAAAAAAAGAGTAAAAAGATTATTATTTGATTTAATATTATATATAAAAAAAAATTGTATTTACCGTGATATTTTTTGAAAAATACGAATTTGTAATTCTAACCCATGACAAATCTTCGCACCTACAAATCTCCTCACAACCTTAAACCCAAATCTTCCGAAAATGGCCTGTTATTTACCCGAAATCATCGTCGCCAACATCCTCCACCGCCTGCCGGCCAAGACCTTACTCCGCTGCACCGCCGTCAGTAAACACTGGTATTCCCTAATCACAAGCCCTCAATTCATCTCCTCGCATTTGAATTTCTCCGCCGCGAGGGAGGATCGCGCCGTCCTGCTCCGTCGCTGCGTCCACAATTCCGAGCGGTACGACCTCTACAAGGACGACCATTCTTTCGCCAGTCTCCGCAGTTTGGAATTCCCCTTCTGGAGCATAAATTCGTGCTTCACAATTGTCGGCAGCTGCAATGGCCTGCTCTGCCTGTCCGACGATAGGGTTTATCTCACAAGCACAATTATTCTGTGGAACCCCTGCATCCGGAGATCAATTCGCCTCCCGAACCCTAATTTGGTTTCCAATTCATTTGGAACATTCATCCAGTGCCTCGGATTCGGGTTCGATTCGGTTTCCAGCGATTATAAGGTGATTAGGATAACTTATACATATTGTTTCATTGGCGAGTATCCTCGGGTGGAGCTTTACAGGTTGAGCGGAGGTGTGTGGGAAGATTTGAGTTATCTAAGATTTGGGTATGTTATACATAACCGATCCAGGCAGGCATTTGTGGGTGGGGCTGTTCATTGGGTTGCTTGCTTGCCGGAAGGCTATGATTTGATTGCTGTATTTGATCTCCGGTGCGAGACATTCCGGGAGATTATGCTCCCTGATAGCCTTATGGATAAGGAACCAACGAGGACGAAGGAATTGGTGGTGTTTGGAGGCTGTCTTACTGTGTTTTTGTGGAATGTGGAAGAGTCGGGTTTTGTGGTTTGGATGATGAAAGAGTACGGCGTTGCTGATTCTTGGTCGAAGCATTTAAGGTTTGATTGTCACGTGTATGGCGGAGGACGGCGTGTAAGGCCATTGTGGGTGACGAGATGCGGGGGAGTTGTGGGAGTTTGGCAAGATGGTTGTTTGGTTTGTTGCTATTCCGATGGAGATGGAGATGGAGATGGATCAGGGATGAAGAGGCTTGGAGTGAAGGGGTCGAGATCGGAAGAGTATAGGCGCACGGTTCACATAGATGGTTATGTGGAAAGTCTTGTTCTTCTGAATAGGAGCTCAGGAAGTGATGACAATGGCGGGAAAAACATAGGGAGAGCACAGAGAAGTAGCTAATTCAAGCATAAAGTAATGTCTGTCTCTCTACCTCTCACAATGAATGGATGAAATTTGCAGACAATGAAATTCTGCTTGCCTATGTTTATCTCATTTGCCAGATTGATTGATTGCTAATTAATGGTTTGATTTGTTGGAAGGTTAGCTGTATTGAATATTGTCCCACATAGAGCTACTCTACTTATCATCAATTGGTTTTAGATTGAAAACCCGAATCCTTTTTCTTAATATGGTATGCCATGGTGCCTATGTTGGGTATTGATTTTGTATGGGATTTCAAGATTATCATCTCGTGTATTGAATATTGTCTCACATTGGATATGAAGCGGGAACTTCCTTGGCTTATAAGGATGAAGGACCACTCCACCTATCACCAAGTGGTTTTAGGTTGGAAATCCGAGTAATCGCCCTACTAGAATGCGCAGAACGATCTTTCGATTTTTAACCTCAGATACACACTTCATCATGGCATGACAGTCCTCGCAGACCCTCAAATTCTTCATTATCCGAATCGGAACACCTTCAGGTGTGTTCATCAGAGCAAACGCAACTGCCATTTTTTCAGTATGGTGAACCAAGTTATGCTCCTTTTCCTCCATGTCCATATGGCACATACCCGAACCATTTCAGCTCCACAGTCAGCTCTTAAAGGTACAAATCTATCTTCTCCAACTGGGGATGAGATCCTTCGCCCATTACGAAAAGATGGACCTGATTCTTTAGCTCGAGCCAGCTGATCCCGGCTACTTTCTTGACCATCCTCTCCTTCATTGCCCTTCTAACACCGAACACATCTTGCCATTTTTGACCACAGACTTGAGCATTCGCAAGCAGCACGTAGGATACGCAATCCTGAGGATCAATTTTCAGTATCTCACCGGCTACTCTTTATGAGTAGCAAGACAACAAAGCTTTCCAAATAATCGTTCGCTTCCTCAAGATCACCCACTCTGCCCAAAAGATCGACAATGCAATTGTAGTGTTTAGCCTGAGGTATCAACCTGTACTTGTTCACCATTAGGTCAAAGGATTCGATCCCCTCGACTTTCAGCCCGGAATGACTACACGAATACAGTATCGCCAAGAACTCGACATCGTTCATCTCCAGCCCCTGTGCCTCAATCTGGTTAAATAGTTCAATAGCTTCCTTTCCTTTCCCATGAAATCCAAACGCAGCAATCATCGACCTCCACAAAACAGTATCGACCAGAACTCCTTCCCTTTCTTCGAAAACTCTCACGGCATCATCCAAGCAGCCACACATCTGAAAACATTCTCAAACCTTCCTCACTAGATTCAAACTTGATCAGCCCTGCTATGACTGCATTCCAAGTTGCGGAATTCCTCTCCTCCATTCTATGGAAAATCTCTACCGCAGCTCCCAGTTCTCAGTTCTGTATGCACCCTCCCATCAGAATGTTATATGACATGACATCTCTTTCAGGCAGTGTGTCGAACATCTTGCGAGCTGTTTCCTGTTGACCTAATTTGGCTATGCGTTCATCAAGTGGTTGGACACGATCACACGACCCTCAGCCTTGACCACCCGCCGGTGATGGTGATCGAATGGAGCTGTTTGGCTGTGAATGAAGAGCGGGGATCGATGCATGCTTACTTTGAGGGGGTGGGAGAGGAGAGTTGGATCAGAATAAATGAGAGGGAAGTGAGCAGTGAATACTTGCTTTAAGTGGCCTTGAGCGCACAAGGTAATGAAAGATTCCGGTGCGGCGGGGACAGTATCGCCGGCCGATGCCTAGAAAAACTCAAGGAAATGAAAGATTCCGGTGCGGCGGAGACAGTATCGCCGGCCGATGTCTAGAAAACTAAGGCATGGCCACTTTTAGTATGAACCGGAAAATAAAACTTTGAGCAAGACTTGCCTATAAACAAAAAGTTGCCCGTTACAGTATCCGTTAGGATTTCAACATTGTGTAGCTAATCTGGCTGCAGATTTATGCCACGGTGGCCCGCAGCGCACGATGATAAAAATAAAAAATAAAAAAATAAAAAAATATTTTTAAATATAAATAATATTCATTCGCTTTATTAATAATAACTTATGATATTATTTTATTATTTTTTATATAAATAATATTGTTAATATTTTGAATATTTTTAACATTATATCTCAATATAATATATACAATATAAAATTATGCATAGGAGGTTAAATATCTATGAAAATATTTGTTTATAATATGGATAAATAGAAATAGAAGAGTTTTGAATAAATAAATTAAAAATTTAATTAAATTAATTTATAAGAGTATTTGTTAACTAATTTTTAAGATAAAAAATAATATTTTTTAAGGACTTACAAAAATAATATATACACAATATGTGTATGGGACAACGGGACAGGATTCTGTCTGGGACAAACGATCCCGTCCGTCCTCCCAACTTTTTCTAAAAAATATTACATCACACGACACTCACTCAAAATTCATTCATAATTTATGTCTCTCTATTCAATCAACAAGTATATTTATATTCATTAAAAACTTCATATTTATTTGCAAAGTATTTTATATTAATCATCAATAAAAATTTATACTCCATCCGTCCCTTAACAATCTATCCATTTTTTCAGTTTGGTCCGTCCCATAACAAAGTATCCGTTTCCTTTTTTAGTAATTGTACTATCTACATAGCATTACAAATACCCTTCTAATTTATAATATATTACACAAATGCCATTACATTTATATCATACAATACTAGTAGGGTTAATTTAGTCTTTTTACTTTTATTTCTACTTTATTTCAATATAATATTAATATTTCTAAAACTCCGTGCAAAAAACAAATAGATATATAGATATGGGACAAATGGAGTATATTTTTATTTATTTGTATTATATAAAACTTTATTCTTTACAAAATGATACTTATACTGTATATATTTTATTACGGTATAATTATTGAAATAATTGAACAAATATTTTCAATTTTTTAAATCTTATATATATTATATCATAAATCAAATATTAATTAAATAAATCACTTTCAACTCAACTTCCAATTCAATAATTCAACTGTATAATCAAAAGCACCCTTTATTTTCACTTTAAGACTGGGCAGGTCGATCATTAGGCTTTGTTAAATCTTCAACCATTGCAAATGCTCTAAGTATTTTCACCTGCTTCCTATACAATTTGCTTTTATAAAATTTCAAGGATTTTAGAGTAATACTCCTTTTGTTCTAGTTTATTTTTATTTTTTATTTTATTATTTTTGTCTATAATATTATTGAGAATTTAAATAAAGTATGATTAATAAGTAATTAAAAAATATATTAGTAAAAATAATTATTATATAATACAAATATTTATAGATTAAAATTAAAATAATTAAACAATTTAATTAATATTAAAATTATAAATTATAAAATTTAATATATAATTAAAATGTAATTATATTTAAAAATATATATATACCGGATTAACTGTGGAAATATTATGTGAAACATAGTGACTATAAAAACCACGATAGAAACAATAAAAACAAAATTGCTCATAACTCCATTGTTGTTTCAAAATTCAGCGTAAATCCCTATTTGTTTAAAAAATTGCATTGCGCTTCTTTATATTTTAAAAAATGTTGCATAAAATCCTTCCGTGATTTCAAAACTCAACATAAATCCTCATTATACCTTAAAAAATTGCATGACACCCCTTATATTTAAAAAAATATTGCATAAGAAATCATATTCTCATCACTTTAGGAAGGTTTCATGGCGGTGGATTTCGTGAAACGTGACATACAATTTTTAAAGTATAAAAAGATTTTACGATTGAATTTCGATACTATATAGAGTTATGAACAATTTTTCCAACAATAAATAAATTAAATACATCATGAGATGACCTGGCGGTGTGAAAATGAATTCATAATCGTAAAATCGTAGGTTCAAACTCTGATGCCTCGGTCTCGCGCCATTAACATAGATAATTAATTCTAATAACTATACGTATCTATCATTTTGACTAATTGTCGCTATACCCAATCCTTGTCAGTAGCCAGGTGGAAAGCTAGGAGAGGCTAAGGTTTTGGCTCCTTAATTATTTTAATTTTGTATTTTTATTACGTAGTATTTATATAATTTTTAAAATATTAAGTAATTGATCGTTTCTATAAATTTAATAATAATAAAAAAAATCATTATTACATGAATTTAATTTAAATACTTAAAAAATTTGGTTCAAATATTTAGAAATATCTGGAAAAGATAAAAATGAGATAAAACCAATTAAATAGCTTTATGTAATTCTTTTTTATAAATTTTTTTAATTATATTATATAATTTTAAAATTATTATATATCGTGTATATATATAAAAAATTCTGGCTCCGTTACTGTCGACAATGTCTATTCACATTGAATTATGCAACAAACTATTTTCCAAAATCAAATCCAACAACTTCGATATTCTTCTTTTGTTAATGATTCATTGGATAAACTTTTCTACCCTATCTTCTTGTCGTTGATTTTTGGACAAAAACCCAAAATTCAAAAGAAACTTAGTCCGAATTATATATTTATTTTTGTACACTTCTTCCCATTGTTTCTATCGTATTTGTTTCATTAGTTTGTTTGTTCGAACAAAATAACAATATAATGCTAATAAGGGGGGGGTTTGCAGGCAGCCTCGCAAAAAATCATGTCCCAACTAAACAAAGAAAAAATAATAAAATGTCTCCAATTTGAATGTGTTTCTTTTGGAAATTTCTTCCTAATTTTAATTTATTTGGTCACTTCCCCAATATATATATATATATATATATTCAATCTATCAATTAAATTTATTTTCATTTTTCTGTCAGTTAAATTGACTTTATTACTGTATTTGAAAAAATAAATAAAAAATAATTATTTATTTATTTATTTACAACAAAAACTATTTCATTCTTTCTTTTTCATTAATAACTAAAATTTTAAAAATACTTATAACCATTTTTTTTTCTTTCTCTTTACAATAATATATATATTTTATTAGAACATGGATCAGGTATTGATCCGATCAAATCAAATGAGTACAAGGCAGATTCCATGCTGAATATATAAAACTAGCATGTTGAAAATTAATCTTAATCCTTAATTTCAAAACAATGTTTAAATTAATTTAATTATCCTTGATTAATTAATAGTTGAAGTCAAACATGCAAATGCTGAATCAAAATACACTTCGGGTGTGTTTGTTTGAGGAATTTGTTTGAATTTTTACTATTTATTCTATTTTTTCCCCTCAAAAACATCAAATTAAACATCTATTTTTTATTTTTTATATTATATTAAAAATCAATTTTACATTAAAAAACATCACATCAACACCTATTTATATCACATCATATAACTATTCAAATTCAAATTTTTTACTATTCAAATCCCAACTCAAAATCCAAACCCTCAAACAAACACACCCGAATCATGTTCCAAATGCAAAATAATACTTCATTTGTCCTCTACTAAACTTTTCATTTTTCATTTTATTTTGTCTATATTACATTAATTTTATAAAATATTAATTTTTTTTTTTTAAATAGACGTGCAAATAGGAAAGTTGGGAACTTGTTCAGAATTTCTTTGCTGCGATGCCTTCTAGAAGCATTGAACATCGGTCATCGAATCCATCTCCCCTTAGATCACTCTCTCACTCTCTCCCTCTATCTAGTATGGAGTAGTGCCCAAGAAACGTGTCGACCACGGGATTGATTCATTAACTACCTTATAAATAATCCTAAATAGCTGTGTCCAAATGGATAGCTAGGTCGATAAGAAGATTGAAAACAATGGAAGTTGCTGATGGTCTGCATCTGGGTTTGGGTTTGGGTTGTGCAGTAGTAGCAGTGCTGCTGTTGATTTTCTACCATGGATGGAAATTACTGAACTGGGCATATCTTAAGCCAAAGAAGATCGAAAAGTCGTTGCGGAAACAGGGTCTCCGCGGGACTCCATACAGACTGTTGTATGGAGATTCGAAGGATATACTCGCCAGCTTCAAGGAATCTCAGACTCACCCAATCAATCTTAATGACGACATCAAGCCTAGGGTTTGGGGATTCTTCATGAAATGCATTCAGAAATATGGTATGTGATCGTGAATGAATTCGATCAGCTAGCTGGCTGTGATATAATTATTGCTTCAGATTAATTCATTGCTTGATATATATTTATATATGTTGGCTGGCAGGGAAGGATTCGTTCTTCTGGTTTGGGCCGAGGGCTACAGTTTTCATTTCTGATCCTGAACTGGTTAAGGAAGCCATGAACAAGATGAATGTGTTTCAGAAGCAGACTAGCTCGAATCCGCTGGCCAGTTTGCTTGCAAAAGGCATCGTCACCTATGAGACAGATAAATGGGTCAAACATAGGAAGCTCATCAATCCTGCTTTCCATCTCCAAAAGTTGAAGGTACCTTACGTTGATCATTGGTTATTTCTCTTCTCTTCTATTCTAAAGATACGTACATAAACTAACTAATTAATTAATTAATGCCCAACGGTTGATTTGTTCTTAATTACAGCTGATGACGTCGGCATTCGTGTCGAGCAGCGAAGAGGTCTTGGAGAAATGGGAGAATCTGAGTGACGGATCCAAAACCTTTGAATTGGATGTGTGGCCTCATATGCAGAAAATAACAAGCGACGGCATTTCAAGAACAGCATTTGGCAGTAACTATCAAGAAGGGAGAAGGATTTTCGAACTACAGAGAGAATTGGCTGACTACGTCATTACGGCTTCTCGATCCATATATATTCCAGGAATGAGGTCAGCTCACATCTACTCGTAAATATAACTATATGTTATCCTAATTATCCTCACTATATGTTTAATTATTAGGTTTCTACCAACCCAAAGGAACAGGAGAATGAAAGAAATCGACCGAGAAGTTCAGTTCTTGATTCGGGGCATCATCTCCAAAAGGACTAAGGCAATGAAAGCCGGGGAGGCAAGTAATCAAGATTTGTTGGGCATACTTTTGGAGTCCAATTTCAGAGAAATCGAAAGCCAGGGAGGCAACACAAGTTTTGGAATGACAATTGAGGAAGTAATCGAAGAATGCAAGCTGTTTTACTTCGCCGGGCAGGAAACCACGTCCACGTTAATCGTGTGGACGCTAGTTTTCCTTAGTAGATATCCACATTGGCAGAATCGAGCTCGGGAAGAAGTTCTTCAAGTCTTTGGGAACAAGAAAGCGCCCGACTACGATGGCACAAATCATCTCAAGATCGTATGTATCTTACCAACATCAAAATTTGTTTATTCAATCCAATTAGTATCATCGACTCTAACTCTGATTTGATATACATCACAGGTGAACATGATCTTTCTCGAGGTCTTGAGGCTTTATCCGCCGGCCGTGGCTCTTGGGCGAAGGGTGAATGAAGAAACCAAGTTGGGGAAACTAACACTAGAAGCTGGTGTGCATATAATCATGCCCTTGATCGTCTTACATCATGACCCCGAAATATGGGGAGACGACGCAATGGAATTCAACCCTGAGAGGTTCAGCGAAGGAGTGTCGAAAGCGCAGAAGAATAATCAAGGTATATTCTTCCCATTCGGATGGGGGCCTCGAATATGCATCGGGCAGACCTTTGCAATGGTCGAGGCAAAAGTCGCATTGGCTATGATTTTGCAGCGATACTCCTTCGAGCTTTCGCCGTCTTATACGCATGCTCCTATCGCCACCTTAATACTTCAGCCTCAGCATGGCGCTCACTTGCGGCTACACAAGCTTTAGGCAGCCCAACCCAACCTACCTTCGTGTCTTTAGACACAAATATATTTATACATACATACATGTAATATTTCACCGTTGAGTTGTTGAATAAATGAGAATAACAGAGTATTTTATGTTTCTTTGGTTTTGACGGAAAGATTTAATTTAGATTTTGTATTTTTTTTGAAAAAGGTGCGGATTCATGCTGATCCGGCCAAAATAATCATAATGACATGTATGTCTATATAATAATATAGCATATGTTGTGTTATAAGATAATATATTGTTATAACATAGCATATACTATGCTGAATTTTATATATACAATATGGTATCTGTCTCCATATATTTTTTATTTAAATCTTTCAAAATAGTTGGTATTTTAGAATTAATTTAATAATTTTAAACATATTTAATTAATATAAATTAATTTGATTAAATTCTTAATATCTTATATATAAGGTCACTCAAAATCCATTTTTTTCTTATATTTTTTCTTAATAAACAATTTTTTTTTATATGTAAAACTCTTTATTAATTATAAATAAAATTGGTTTATAATTGTTATGAATTTATTCTCTGATCATTTAGATTTATCGAACAATACATCGTATACAAAATACAAATCAATTAATAGCTGAAGCAATTAAATCGAATAAATCCAGTACAAATAATACCAAAATAGAAAATGATATTAAACACAGAATAAGGCTAAAGACATTCTGAATTGGACTATGCAAATTAGAACACAAGCAAACATCTATCAACACTCCAGAATAGAAATTGAAGAAAACTCCCTTCGAGATTGATTTCTGGAATTGGAGATTTGGGTGCCGACTCACCACGGCTCCCGGTGGTTTCTCCGACGACGACGGACAGCCTCCTCGGATTTCCACAGGCAATCCTGTGGCACGACAACAACATCGGCGCTGGATCTTCCAGCGCGGCGGTCGGCGGCCATCAGCTCCCAGGCAGCGACGACGCCGATTTCCGGCAACTCAGCGTCTGGTTCCTCCGGCGAACACCACCAAACACAGCTTCTAATCAACTCCGACTGACATCGAGCTGTCAATTCTTTTTTCTGAAATTTCACCGGCAAAGGGATGACGATGATCCGCTCAAATCCTTGATGCAATTGGCCCGAGGTAACCACACAGTTTAATTAATTAATTAATCATATTTGAATTTAGATTATTTTTTAATTATTTTATATAATTAACTTAACCTTAAATTGTGTCAACTTTTCTTCCTCAAGTTTATCACATTCAAAATATACTTGAAAAGTTAAAAGTGACAGAAAAATAGTCGGTTTTCTTTTTTATTATAAATATCGAGTTACTAAACTTACTCTTTAGAATATACCATCGTTGTTTGAGAGACAGAGTTTGGCAGCGTCATCCTGGGGTTCAGGATCTGACAATATCTTCGCAGGGTTTCAAAGTTTGGCAACATGGTTCCAGAGTTTGGTTTGTTTAAATTCCGCTTCCGCTGACATATTTGATTATATGTTTATTTTCTACCAAATTTACTTTGAATTTTCTTCTCATCAAATATTTTGATCAAAATTCGCTTTAATTTCTTATTTGGAAATATTTTGTTTTTTTCTTTTTTTTTTCTTTATTTGCAACAATTGCATTGCGATATTTCTTGATCAAGATCCGATCCTACGATTTGTGAAAAATTTCATTATGAGAATTTCATTTTGTTTTTTTTAGGAAAATTTTGAATTTTGTTTTGAAATTAATTTACACAAAATATTAAATTTTTGAATTTTTTTTGTTTTGTGTTTCGAGGGAGTATATCAGACGGATTGATGTATGTCTGTATGCAATCTGTAATCGGTTATGATGCCTGAATAATTGATTATTTAATTGATAAAATCAGATCTGCAAAATTTATTATTTATTATTATTCATCAGTGTAGAATTTTGTATTCATTCGTTTATTTGGTTTATTGTGAATCCAAATTGTATGCTTCATTTAAAATAAATTAATTGAAGACATGGATACATCCATATGCATGACTGTGTATATGTTCTCAAAATATGCATATATATATTGATCAATTAAGGGTGTGTTTGTTTGAAGGATTTTGGAGGATTTCCATTATTCATCCAATTTTTTCCCCCCAAAAACATCAAATCAAACACCTATTTTTCATTTTTTATATTATACTAAAAATCAATTTTACATTCAAAATATCACATCAACACCTATTTATATCACATCATACAACTATTCAAATTCAAAATTTTTACTATTCAAATCCCAATCCAAAATTCAAACCTCCAAACAAACACACCCTAAATAACACTGCATGTCTGCATTGTTCTGCATGAATTGCTTGTATCAACTAATTGTTTTTATCAAATCTGGTAATTAAGTTTAGTTTGGTCGTATATGAAACTTTGCATGTCTGTTTGACTGTCTGCGGTACTTTTGATTATCCGTAATTATTCTTGAAATCAGATGAAGATGTGAGCTGCTGCTATTCATTCATTATCATAATTTCTTGAAATATTTTATGGAATTAGAATTATTCTCATATATTTTAGAGATAATTTGCTTCCGTAGAAATTTTTTATTTGAATTGAATACATATGATTACATTAATTTTTTAAGTGTGGAATCATATGTGCGTGCATAAGAATGCAATCACGTCCGTACAATTTGGGTGTTTGTTTATTTATTTATTCATATATTTTGTGTAAATCAATTGATCAAACATGCATCCATATATAGTTTGGCAACATGGTTCCAGAACTTGGTTTGTTTAAATTCCGCTTCCGCTAACATATTTGATTATATGTTTATTTTCTAACAACACCCTTAAGGTGGAGGTCGATCAATCACTCTAAGCCTCGAAACCTTCCCTATATCACCTCACAGATTCAACCCCCAAAACACACATAATAAATCATCTAGCGCATAACACATTGAAGAAAATTTTAATGTACAATTTATGAAAACAAGAAATTTTAAATTAAAGGATAAACTCAAGTTCAGTTCCCTACTAGAAAAATGTCTGAATGTCGTGGAATATTTGTTGCAATTGAATATATTGTCACGACAATTACTATTTCACCATTGTGGAAATTGTAACAATTACTATTTAGTTGTTGCAACGAAAAATATATAATTATTTTGTTGCAAAAATTTGCGACAATGAACATTTATATTGTTGCCAAAATTGGTGACAATCAACTTCCGTAACAATTCATCACAATCTTCAATGACAATTAAAATAAGTACGAAAAATCCGGTGCGAAACTTGTTACGCAATAATTTATTAAAATTGTAGCTGAAGTAGATACATTCCGCAACAATTTCAACCATAAAAAATGGTATTTTTCTAGTAGCAAACATATGGTTAAAGATGATCAACACAAAGCCTCTAAGTGATTGTGTTTGTTTCAATTAGTGAGGTGAGGTTGTACTATTAAGGTTCTCGAGGGTGTTGAGAACTACTAGGCCGGAAGAGAGATATTCGATGAGGAACCATCTGATCCGTTACATTGGAATCCTCCTAAAATCACTAGCGGCGAACCTAGTAAAAGCAAGACTAGCTCGATTTAGGATCAGACTAGTTGGAGGAAAAGTGGTGGTTGGACTGGCAGCAACAACAACATAAGTAACTTTAGGTGTTACCTTCATGACAAAGATAACACCGGCTAGAGAAATGATTGAGTTTCCATCGGCATCTATGGTGTTAACAATTTGATCAATGGTCGGCATATTCTCAAATAAGGAAAGATAGCCATTTTGCAATTGTTAGATTGCGAGAATAAATAAATAAAAATAAACCAAAAGCCAACTTGAGGTGAATCTTTATTTCCAAAAGATACTTATTCATGGTAGTGCCTCCGATACCTGGCGTATCATTTTTAAAAGTAAAATGAATTCGTCTCTATAATAGTAGCACCTCAAAACCCAGAGTAACTATTTTTATTCTATGTCATGCTTCTTACCATCTTAAATTAAATGCGCTTAATTATAAATAAATCAAATCCCAACGTCTCTAGGTCCACCTGCCATACATGGTTCGCCGTAACTTGTCTTGTCAGGCCTAGTTTGCAGGTATTAGGTTCGGCATGGGATTTATTTAGTGTGAACTTTCGGATAGCCGCTCCGAATTTCCATTTTATAAAAAAAAAAGAAAAAAAAGTTATTCAACTAAGTTAAGTACTTAGTAAATAACTTATAAACCCCACTTCCACTTAGCCTACTCATCAACAAAAAAGAAAATAAAAAAAAAAAGTCGATTTTGAACAATGTCTCTAAGACAAAAAAGAGTAATGTCATCTTAACAAAAAAGAGTAATGTCTCTGAGACAAAACAAAGATTCTTTGTTAATCTCAGCACGTTTATTCAACAACTCCGTGGTTAAATAGTACAAGTATATGTAAGGACATTAACGTAATGTGGTCTAAAGCTTGTGTAGACGTAAGTGAGCGCCGTGCTGAGGCTGAAGTATTACGCTGGTGTAAGGAGCGTGTGTATAAGACGGAGAAAGTTCGAAGGAGAAACGCTGCAGAATCATAGCCAATGCGACTTTTGCCTCGACCATTGCAAAGGTCTGCCCGATGCATATTCGAGGCCCCCATCCGAATGGGAAGAATATACCTTGATTCTTCTGTGCTTTCGACACCCCTTCGCTGAACCTCTCAGGGTTGAATTCCATTGCATCGTCTCCCCATATTTCGGGATCATGATGTAAGACGATCACCGGTAAGATTATGTTTACATCAGCTTCCAGTGTTAGTTTCCCCAACTTGGTTTCTTCATTCACCCTTCGCCCAAGTCCAACGACTGGCGGATAAAGCCTCAAGACCTCGAGAAAGATCATGTTCACCTGTGATGTATTGGATCAGAATCAAATCAGAGTCAGAATTAATGATACTTTGATGAAATAAACAAATTTTGATGTTGATAAGATACATACGATCTTGAGATGATTTGTGCCATCGTAGTCGGGCGCTTTCTTGCTCCCAAAGACTTGAAGAACTTCTTCCCGAGCTCGATTCTGCCAATGTGGATATCTACTAAGGAAAAATAGCGTCCACACGAGTAGCGTGGACGTGGTTTCCTGCCCGGCGAAGTAAAACAGCTTGCATTCTTCGATTACTTCCTCAATTGTCATTCCAAAACTTGTGTTGCCTCCCTGGCTTTCGATTTCTCTGAAATTGGACTCCAAAAGTATG